TCATGCATTCCTGCAGGTAAGAGATGAGGCTGCTTGGCCTGGAGAGGCTGCAGTGGAGGTGGGCAGGAGCTGTTGGAATTGGGAGTGATTTTGGAGCCAGAGCTGGGAAGTTTACTGCAATGCCCAAATGTGGGTGTAAAGGAAAATGAGGAGGTCTGGGGTCTCAGTAACTGAGCGAGTCACGGCGCCGTTTGCTTTGAGGGAAGAGCAGGTGGGGAAGGTGAGAATTAAGAGCTTGGTTTTTGATGTGCTGAAGTGGACATCCTTGGGGAGAAGACCAGGAGGGAGCTGGATGTGCAGATCTGCAGCTCAGAGGCAAGCCGTTGGTGGCCTGTCACCCTTTAGGTGGGATTTAAAGGGAGGGGACTGGAAGAGCCACAGGGAGTGACTACATATGGAGTGGGGCACCAACGCCTGGAGCAGCTCTGGATGTGGGCGCTGTCGGCACTCCCGCTTCCAGATGGAAGCACTGAGCGTCAGTGGGGTTGGATGTCTTGCCTGAGTCACCCCGTGGGGAAGCAATAGGGCTGGGATTCAAATCCAGGCTGTTTCCCTCCAGAGGCTACCCTCTGCACCCCTATCTTCTACTCCCCAGACTTTACTCTCAGAGCAGGGGGAGGTTTTTGAAGATCTGAAGGGGTTTTGAGCAGAGCCATGGGCCAGGCAGCGTGGTTAGGAGAAGGCTCATGGCCTATAAGTCAATGATCTGGAGTCCCCTCCTGCCTTGGACTGCCTGTGTGGCTCTGAAGAGTCACATTGCCACTCTGCGTCTCAGTTTTCTCCTCTGTAAAGTGGGACTAGCAGCCCCTTCCACATAGCTGCCTTCATGGGCTTCCGAGAAGATTCCACTTAAGGATGGATGCAAGGGCATTCTGTTGAGAACCCTGCTGATGTGAGGGCTGGGATGATCTTTTCTTGGATGAGGGAAGGGGTCTTAATCCTGTTTTGTTTTGTTTTTTCTCCATCTCCAAACCAGAGTCATGATGTTTGAAGGAAAAGCCAATGAGAGCAGCCCCAAGCCAGTCGGCCCCCCTCCAGAGAGAGACATTGCCAGCCTGCCCTGAGGACCCCTGCCTGGACCTGCCCCGCCCTCCCTGCCCCTGTTCCTCCTCCTGATCTCGCTGCCCTCTCGACTCATTGTGATTTGTCTTATTTGTTTTGTTTGGTCCTTGTGCGTTTGTTTGTTTGTTTCATTGGCAGAATCAGTGATCTTTTTGTAAAGCACAAATTATCTGCCTTAAGGGGACTCTGGGTGGGGAATCCTGAGCCTTGGGTCCCCTCCCTCTCTCCTCCCATCAGTCCCTTCTCCCTGTGCAGAAGGGCTGACATCAAACCAAAAACCGGAGGGGCAGGGCTGGGACAGGGAGACTGGAAGTCTGTGATCCCCATGCTTGAAGCTGGCACCGTCCATCCTTCCAGGACGTCTCTGAGCTAAGTCCAGGCTAGCTGCCCTGGCCTGGGTGAGGACCTCAGCCCACTTATAGGAGACCCTGGGGTAGCCTCCTTAGGGTTTCCTTGGACAGCTTTGTTGTTCCAGTGCTCTTGTGTTGTCCAGGACGTGGCCACTCAGTGTCCCACTGCCCCACCTGATCCCCCCTCAGTCCACACTTCTTCTCATCCTCAGTGAGGTGACATAAGGAGACAAAGAGAGGGGCTTGGCAACTTGAGTCCTTCAAGAAGGTTCAGGAAGGAATCCTCTGGCTTGCCCCCTGGCCACACCTTTACAGGCAGCTCAGAGGGAGGGTGCAGCCTGCCGTCCCTTGCTGGGGCAGCAAAGGGCTTTGGAGGTAGAGGGGAGGCCAGGGGCCTTGAGGGGGTCAGCTCATCTAGTCCTACCTTTTATAGTCCTACCTTTTAGGGAGGATGCTGAGGGCATCCTCAGCATAGGAGATACGGAGATAGGAGATATCAGCATAGGAGAATGAGGATTAAAATGCTCATGGCAAAAAGAGTCAACCCCACTGTTAAGCCAAGAGCTAAGAAATAGGAGGTTGCCTTTGTGATTCAAATCTGCTTGAAACCTGACTGCACTTCCCCCGTTTGCCTTTCCACCTTACTCACACCATTCATTCATTCATTCATTCACTCAGTCATTCAACAGATATTTATTGACAACCTATTATAAGCTTTAAGTCCCCCTACTTTGTCCTGCCATGTGCTGTGTCCACTGTCTCACTTACTCATCTCTCCGTTTCCAAATTGCCTAAAACCTTGAGCTTGGGGATTGGATTGGGGTCACCTGTGTCCTTTATTATGGACTCACAGGGTTTCAGAGCCCGGATCCACCCTGTAAGTTATCTGAGCCAGTCCTCTCATTTCACAGGCGAGAAAACTGTCGTGGTCCACAGGGATTAAGTGCCTTGCGCAAGGTCAGGGGTTAATCTGGAGCTGGAAGAGTCTGGACTGAAGCCCACGTGTGCAGATGCCCTGCCCATGCTTCATCTCTGCCCTGGGCTGCCTCAGTCAGGGATGAAAACAAGGGAAGGGGCAGGGAGGGGCATGCTCCTAGGTCAACACTTGAGGAAGGCCCAGGCCAGGACTCCCCCTTCCCGGTGCCCCCGAGTCAGCATCAGGGTTTGGGTAAGGACCAGGCCTGCCTTTGCAGTCCTGCCTTCCCTAGAGCTTCTCGGCCAAGCTGCTTCTCAGAACTCATGCAGGAAGTGTCACTCTCGGCCCCCTCTTGGCTGAGCAGGAACCCCAGCCTTGACCCCACCTGTGTTCTGGAGCCCCTTACCCTACTGGCTCAGAGATGCACTCATCCATTGAACATATTTATTAAGCACCTGCTATGGGTCAAGAGCTAAGAACCCAGTAGGGAAATAGACTCCTGGAATTTAGAGTCTTGTGGGGAAGTCACACCCAGACGATGATGAGTGAGATGAAGGTTAGGAAAGGGGGGGATATGAGGTGACTGCACTGCAATCCTGGGGGCACCTAGCTAGGCCCCAGACTGGGCAAGAGTCTTGGAGAAGCCTTCGCAAAACCTTAAGTGGAAAGCTCTGGGGACTGTTGGAGGTTGGAGCTAGTGTGGGCTCCCTGCAGCTCCTTAGTGACCCATAATCAAGGGCCCAAGGAGCGGCCCTTACAGCAGCTTGAGGGTGTGGAGCCGGTAGAGGATGGGGAAATGGCCAGGTTGGGTTAATCTGCTGGTCTCAACCAGTTCAGGAGCAAGATTATTTGGCCATGACTGGCTGATCTTCAGCCTGAGGAGCTGCTTCAAATGCACAGGCCCAGCTGAAGTTTAAACCCCAGCAAAACATTCCTTCCTCTAAATGTAAAATTTCACCCCACCTCCTGCCCTCCCTTGGTGGTTTTTGTTTTTTCGCCTGAGATCCTTACATGAGCAACTGCCTGTCCCCACCCCTTCCCACTGCCTCTCCTCTCAGAGACCTTTGAGCAAGGTAAAGCCTTCCTTGACTACCCATCATAGTCGGTGTACCTGTTCCTCACTCAGGAGGGCAGAACCAACCAGGCTTATTTCAGCAGGTTCCACACTTTACAAGACTGCAGGAAGCCTCCTTAAGGGAGGAGAGCAAGTGAGTGTGTCCCCAGCTTCTGGAAAGGGCAGGAAAGAGAGTTCTCTCATTGGATGGGGGTGTCCTGGGAAACCTTATCAGTTCCCTTCACCATTTCTCGGAACTCAACCCCTGGAGGGAGTGGGTCTCAAGAGCGGTCCCTGGAAAGGGGGTCTGCATGTATTTCAGGTTGTGGCTATTGGCTCTAGGACTGTTCTCTGGCTAAGGGCTCAGCTTCTTAGAACTTCAGCTGTCTTCTTTCTGAAAGACCAAATCTAACTAATGTAACCAGCAACTTGGGGGCTGCCAAGTATGGCTTTGTCCCTGCAACTCAAAAGGAAGGAGTGTGTCGGGCAAGTTCAGGTGGATGCGGTATGTGTGTGCGTGTGAGTGTGTATGGTGCCGGATATCGTGTCTACAGACTGGAAATAAAACAGACAAACTTATCAATGTCTTCATTGGTGTATTTTGGGGATGGTTTGGGGCTCAGCAAATTCAGAAAAGCTATGTAATATAGTAACAGACCGAATGAATGTGTCCTGTGTGCTAGGCTCTCTTAAATGCTGAACTTCATTTACTCCTCACAACAACCCCATGAGCCAGGTTCTACTATGTCATCCTTGTTTTATAAATGAGAAGCAGGCTTGGAGCAGATGAGCAGTTTGCTGACAACCAAACAGTAAGTGGCAGAGCATGGAGCTGACTCACCGGCTCCAAGTTAAGAATCTTTGTCCTAGAGCATTTATAATATAATTCCACTACAAAAACCTCTACGTAGGACTGTCTAATAGTCATCAACCAGCAGATCCAGAGAAGCTGAATTCTCAGGCTGCCTCTGCTACTTTCTGACTAAGGGGCACTGGGGAATTTTCTTAACTTCTCTGGGCTTCCAGTTACTTCATCAATTAAACGGCAATGATGCCCCTAGGTGACTAGGATGTCTTGAAGATTACATAACACATCTGAAGTGTTCTGCGGTTTCCAGGGTCTTGCCCTGTAAATGATAACCTTGAAAGGAGTAAACAAGGCTGACCTTTGGTGCCTTTTAACCTCCCCTTTCAGCCTTCGTGCTTAGACACGTGGAGAGGCCCCACCCCGCCACCTTTCTGAACCTCTTTTCCTCCACACCCCCCTCCAAACCTCTCTCAAGAGCTGCCCCTGGAAATATCTGTCAAGTAGCGGGAACTATTAACCACCTACATCCCGGGGTTACTGTGAAGTCTCCAGCGAACAAACGGAGCTCTCGCGCCGGCGCCCGCTGCCCAATGAATGAAACCAACTCGAGGCGAGCCCGCGCTGAGCGCGAACGCGGGGGCGCCACGTGGACTCTCCCGGGCGCGAGCATGGGCCCTGGGGCCACGGCCCCTACTCGGCCGAGCCGGCCAATGGGAGGCGGCGGCCAGGATTGCGCGCGACTTCAGACGGGCCCCCAGCCTCCCTCCACCACGCGGCGGACGGAAGCGCGTGACGTCAGCACAGCGCGCCGGAAATGTGGGGTTCGCTGCGCGCCGCTAACGCCGAGGAAAGGAAGTTGGCCTCGGGGCGGTCTGGGCTGTGTGGGCAAGGCCGCGGGCGGTAGCGGCGGCTGCTTCGACCAGCTGAGGGCGGCACGATGGGAGACGAGATGGATGCCATGATCCCCGAGCGGGAGATGAAGGTCAGAGACTGGCCGGGGCCTCCCTCCCTTGCTTAGTCGCGGCGTTGCCTTGGAGCCGCGCTGAACGGCGAAGCGCGGGTTCTGCCCCGCCTCCGGCTTGAACAGTTGCCGCGTTCAGAGTTGTCACCGGCGCGCCCCGGAGCACTCTGCCCCGCCGCCGGCGTGGAAGACCCCCCCGAACGCAGTTTCCCCGCCCCTTGCTGCTCTTGTGCGCGCCACTCGAGTTACCCTGGCTCCTGTCACGTGGTGGTCGGAGGAGTGGCGATAACTACCGTGTGTTGAGCGATTACTGTGTGCCAGGCACTGTGATTACCGTGTGGTGATCATCACAGCAACGCCACGAAGTAGTCGTTAATGTAGAGGAGCAAATGGGGCTCGGAAAGCAGCTTACTCAGAGTCACATTTGACAAGGCGGCTGAAATCCAGGGATGTCTTGTTTAAGAGCCTCTCTTCTTCACTCGCACGGTACCACCTCTGTAAGGTGGGCCAGGCTTGCCTAACACAGAGCTGGGGTTCGTCACCTGTCCTACAAAACCTTTGGTTAAGTGGAATAGGAGGACTGTTCTGGTGCTGGGAATCAGCCAAAAAAGAGGGTCAGGTGATCCAAATGATGGTTATAAACACCTGACAGGGAGTGAGTTGCAGGAAGATTTTAGGCGTTTGAACAAGAAATCACTGAAATGTGTTTCGGGTGGTAATCCATACCGTATTTAGAGCGGTGCTTCTCTCTTCCTTCTTGAGAATCACTGCGGGTGAGCCACCCAGTGAGAGTGTGGCGTTTTCCTCAGAGATGCCGGGGTGGAAGGAAAAAAAGGTTTTAAAACCACAGCCTTTGAGGATGATAGTCTGCCTTTGAGTTACTGATTATAACAGAAAGGAGAGCTCTGCTGTACCTCTTCGTCCCACTGGCTCTCTATGCCCGTGTGACTATGACCCAAATAGGAAATTGGGGATGATCAGGATGAGAATGACAAAGACTTAAAATTTTATTCTACTGTATGAAACCACAGTATGGTCTCACCTGGAAAGTGGTGTGAATTTCTGATCACCGTACTCAGGTGGAGTTAAGAAGGGTATTTCCTTTAATCTTTTAGCAAATATGTATTCAACATCGAATCCAAGGAAATTAGTATGTGGGGTATGTTAGGGGTCCTGTATGAAGCGCCATAAGTACAAAAATGGAGGCTGAGAAAAGCTCTCTTTGGCTTTTACAGTTTTGGAATGTAGGCAAAAGGGGATTCACATTTTTTTCACCAAAACTTTGACTTGAAGATAGGTTTGGAATTGAGGGAAAAAAAACTGTATATAGTACAACTTAACATAGTGATTGGTAAACCTAGGGAACTCTGTTACCGGGAGGTGGTACACACTGAAAATTGTCTTTGAAAGCATATAGGTAAGTTCATGGAAGACTAGGTGAGTCAGGCATTGACAGATCGGGGAAGGCTCCCAGGCCCTGAGGCCCTTGAAAATGGAAGGAAATGAAAACTGATAGTGGGTGGGGGTTGGAGGTGTGACAGTGGGTGTGGCAGAGGTGATGGCACACTTGTGGGAGGGAAGCGGTGTTGTGAGGTGAGGCTCTGCAGGTGGATGGGTCAGCCCCTTCCTGGCCTTATAGCCTGCCTGAAGGGTCTTGGACTTGTGTTTAGGTGTCTTTTAGCATCTAGGTATGTTTATAGGACTTGAACACCAAGACATTGACCATACATATCCTTTTCTGTGATGGATTTTTTTATCATTTGGTGCAGGTAAGCCTGTTCTTGGGATCTGGTTCTTTCTGTGGTCATTATTTCCATATATATATTTATTGAGGGCTGCACTGGAAGTTCCAGCTTACAGCAGAGTTGGAGAATGCTTTCAGTATTTAACAACAGTTTGTTAAGCATTACTGTGGGTCCTGAGCAATGCATACCATGAAATAGGACAAGATTATAAATAATAAAGTGCAGCTTGTGTGGTGGTTTAGGACAATAAGTTAACTAGGAATTCAGAAAAGATCAGTGTGAGCTGGATTAGTCAAGGAAGGCTTCATGAAAGAATTTTGAAAGTTTTATTTCATTCAATAAATACTAACAAGCAGTGTTGCCAGGCACCACACTATGCACAGGAAACTTAAAAATGATTGAGCCACACAGTCTTTGGCCTCAGGGTAGTATATCTTTTTGTTGTACTGGAATTGGGTCTACTGGAATATAATGACAGACATTTAATTTCCTGTTTTCCCTAAATTGGTCTTGTTTTGATCTCTCACAACAGGATTTTCAGTTTAGAGCACTGAAGAAGGTGAGAATCTTTGATTCCCCTGAGGAGTTGCCCAAAGAACGCTCAAGTCTGCTTGCTGTGTCCAACAAATACGGTCTGGTCTTTGCTGGTGGAGCCAGTGGGTTGCAGATTTTTCCTACTAAAAATCTCCTTATTCAAAATAAACCTGGAGACGATCCCAATAAGATAGGTAAGTTACTTGCTTTGTGTCGGTAGTAGAGAGAGGAGTGTGGTGAAGTGTGAATGTAGTTTCCTTCCCAAGAAAATCATTCCAGTATTAAAATTAAAACTGCTGTTAGTCCTAAGGTTGACCCCCAAGGAGAATAAGTTCCAGGTAGGATGCTGGAAGCCTTTCAGGGTGTTCTCTTTGGTCCTTTGTATTTCTCTTTCAGTGAGTTGTTCCTCTGAGCTCAGGGGGAAGAAGAATTTACCATTCTGCCATGCTTTTGTTTTCGCTCAGTTGAAGTTGGGTTCTGGCTCTCTAGGAGAAGGATTTTGTTGCATGGCTTTTTAATTGACACAACAGTCCCATCCAAACAAATGGGAATGTGTACTCTTTAGACCATTGTTGCAAAAATATGGGTACAGGACACTGTTTTCAACAAGGGCAGCAGCCACAGTTAGTTTCCCCAGGTCGTATGAGGAAGAGTCTCTGGGACGCTTAATGCATTATACACCTGTAAGAAAGCTGAGGTTTATCAGCGTAACTGGGTATCAGGATGTGGGCGTATGTTTATGTAGATACAAAACTTCGTAGTCCTTCATGAATGGGTTGTGACTTGTGCTTAGAACATTACATTTGCTACTTTGTCTTTTTTCATGTTCTCATAGTTGATAAAGTTCAAAGCTTGCTGGTTCCTATGAAATTCCCGATACATCACCTGGCGCTGAGCTGTGATAACCTCACACTGTCCGTGTGTATGATGTCCAGTGAATATGGTTCTATTATCGCTTTTTTTGATGTTCGCACATTCTCGAATGAGGTAAGCTACTGGCAAGCTGTAGGGCCAACATGGGACCTAAGAAGATCTCCACGTCTTGATTCATAACCTAGAAGTTCTTGGTTGACCCTTGAAGTCTTTTTCTAGATTAAAATATGGGTTTAAAAAAAGTCCTTAATTATAGAATCACAGATCTTTGAGATAGAAGAGACTTCAGGAAATTATTTCACAATACCACCTGCCCCAAGGTGTTACCGCTTCTCCTTTATATATGAGACAGCCAAAGCCCAGAGAGCCTTAGGGGACTTGTCCAAGGCAGTAGAGTTAATAGATAATGTCAGAAGTTCCTACGTCCTGGGTCTCTGGGCTCCTAGTAGTAGTCTTCCATTCCAAGCAGTTTGATAATGAAAATGTAGTCAATACTATTGTGTGTTCATACTGACTGTGTGCCAGGCCTGTGTTAGTGCTTTCCACACCTTGTCCTTGTTCATGCCTACCACGGCCTCACACAGTAGGTACTGCTGTCTTCACTTTAAAGGTGGAGAACGAGGCCCAAAGAATTTAAGTAACCGTCCAAGGGCCCAACACTATTAAGAAGCAGAGCCAAGATTTTAATCTAGTGTCTGCTCTTTATTGATTATTATACATTTGTGTATTTCCCTACTGGGAGTCCCTCCAAGTGTGCTAGAATAATTGATTACCTTTTTCAAAGTTATGTTGAAGTTGTAACAAATAGGTTGTTGTGTAGAACTCAATTTTATTTTCATGGTTATGGGGAAAAGTGTAATTTGAGAAAACTTACATATTCAATAATTTTCTTTGACTATTAAACGTCTCTGTGTATTTATTAATTTACTAATTTATTTTTGCTTCTGGGCATTTGTTTTAAAAGGCTAAGCAGCAGAAACGCCCATTTGCCTACCATAAGCTTTTGAAAGATGCAGGAGGCATGGTGATTGATATGAAGTGGAACCCCACTGTTCCCTCGATGGTGGCACTTTGTCTGGCCGATGGCAGCATCGCTGTCCTACAAGTCACAGAAACGGTGAAAGTGTGTGCGACTCTTCCTTCCACAGTAGCAGTAACGTCTGGTGGGTAATAAAGGCTTTCACTCTGTAACGTATAGTAATAGTGATCTATTTAAAAATTAATTTCTGGAAATAAAAGCAAATGGGGTTTTTTGATGTATTTGTTGCTGTTTGGTAGAAGTGGAGAGTATTAGTTAATGTCTTTGAAGCCAAACAGCATACATGCTTTAACTTGAATGTGCTTGGGTTTTCTGGAGAAAGAAATATTTTGGTACAGCTTGTTTAGAATTGTGTTTTTGAGAATAATTGTTTCTGCATCCAAAAGGATCGTACTCTGAACGACATTTGTCCCTTCGGGGGGAAAGCGTTAGAAATATCAAGTGGGAGCAAGAAAATGATTTCTTGATATTTGAAAACTCTCTATTCTCTTTGTCTTGTTTAAAACGGTAGAGTTTTCTGTACTTTCCAGCGTTCAGGGCAATACTCCAGTGAAAGAGCATTTTTTTTTTAGTGAGGAAGAGTGGCCCTGAGCTGACACCTGTTGCCAGTCTTCCTCTATTTTGTGTACGGGATGCCGCCACAGTGTGGCTTGATGAGCGGTGTGTAGGTCCACATCCGGGATCCGAACCCGGGAACCCTGGGCCCCCAGAGCGGAGTGCACGAGCTTAACCGCTGCATCACCAGGCCGGCCCCTGAAAGATCATTTTTAGCCGTTGATGCAGTGGTCCAGTGATAACGTCCTAATTGGCGTGTATTGTCAAAGTGATTTTTCTTTTTTTTTTTTACTTTGGCAAGTAGGAGTGATCGTACAGTGTTCCCTGGAGTGACGGGAACGAGAAGTGGTGATTATGTAGCTGTTTTGGTCCAGATCTCATTGATTTGCTCCATTTTCTTCGGTTTTTAATTGGTAGCCTTCTCTCCTTTGCTCAGTGTGCTGGAGCCCCAAAGGAAAGCAGCTGGCGGTGGGAAAGCAGAACGGAACTGTGGTCCAGTACCTTCCTGTAAGTGTTGCCTTGGACTTGAGAACCTTTCTTACTTAAGATACCCACTGTTTTGGGGGTGGTTTGGGAGTACCTTTGGTGTTTTTTCCTATTAAAATGTAGTTTATGCTCATTGCAACAAATTCATTAGTACACACATGAGCGCAGGAAAGAGTGAACTCTTCCCTTCTGTCCCATAGTCCTCCTCCTAGAGGCACCCTCTGAGTTCTGTTTTGTGGTAGCCTTCCAGACTTTTCTGGATACTTATGCAAATAGTCTATGTGTGGATACATTATTTTTGTTTTGCTTTTTAAATGGAATGTGATCATACTCTACACAAGGTTCCCCAGCTTGATATTCCCAATCCATTCCATAAAAAGAGAGCTTAAGGGGGAAAGAAGTTAGTGAAAGGCTAGTACTGTAATGCAGAATCACTCCAGGTTAAAGCCCAACTCCAGGTTGTTCGTCCTCTAGCTAAGTCCAGTTTAAAGGTACAGTTTCTCTGACTATAGGCAAGAGAGACAATGGGTGCTGCTACTGTTGCACACACACTCTGTCATCCTCTCCCTGTGGTCTTTCTGGGATGATATTCACAAATATTCTTCAATATAAATTGACAAAGGTTCTACATATGTCCAGTCAAGCCTGGATGGGAAGGAGGGTTTCACAGGCAATGCCGAGGCCTGTGTTGTGTATTCCTCCTCGAAAAACTGTTCTCTGCGGGGTGCAAAGGGGTGAATGTGGTGGTAGAGGTTTGAGGTTAAGGTTTTCTTATTTGTTATTGCAAAAAGTTATTAGGTGATGGGCCGGCCCCGTGGCTTAGCGGTTAAGTGCGCGCACTCCACTACTGGCGGCCCGGGTTCGGATCCCGGGCGTGCACCGACACACCACTTCTCCGGCCATGCTGAGGCCGCGTCCCACATACAGAAACTAGAAGGATGTGCAGCTATGACATACAACTATTTACTGGGGCTTTGGGGAAAAAAAAAAGAGGAGAATTGGCAATAGATGTTAGCTCAGAGCCGGTCTTCCTCAGCAAACAGGCGAGGATTAGCACGGATGTTAGCTCAGGGCTGATCTTCCTCACAAAAAAATAAATAAATAAATAAAACTGTTGGGGAAAAAAAGTTATTAGGTGAAATTTGGTACATATTCTTTTAGGGCGTTAGCCTGTAAAAAGATAACACAATTGGTTTAAAAAAAAGATTCACTGTTTGCCTTTTTGTTTTCTTTAACTTAATAGTATATTGGAGTTCTTTTTCCGACTCCTTACATATAGAGCTGCTTTATTCTTTCGAATGTCTGCATAGTTGTCCCTGTGTGAATGTGCCATAATTTACTTTTCTATTATTGATAGCTATCTGTATCAGTATGGTCGTTTTACTGCTATAAAGGGTATCGCGTTGAGCATCCTCATTATCTACATCCTAACACGTTCGTGTGAGTGTTTCTAAGGGCGAGTCCTAGAAGTGGTCCTTCACTCTTCTTTGTGTTCTGTCTCTCCTGGCTGGAGAGACGAGAGAGAGGTGGCTTCTGGGGGAACATATTGGATTTGACAGTTTCATTGTTTTAGGGATTATTTCATTTGACACTTTTTCTTTCAAATCTCTTTCAGACTTTGCAGGAAAAAAAAGTCATCCCTTGTCCTCCATTTTATGAGTCAGATCATCCTGTCAGAGGTAATACATCTGCTTTTCTTACTGGGCTGACCTCTAACGAGGTGCCGTCTGTATTAGACTTTTCATTCACGTGATGTACCTACACACCTGCTCAGGGAGGGTTGGTACCTTCTGTATGAATACTCTCAGTATTTCAGTTGGCTAATTAAGTCATTGTAACAATAATCCTCTGGTAGATGCCTGTGTCTCATGGTAAAGGACATTAAATGAGTCCTGACTTTTTATTAGGATTCTTCATAATTTGCCCTGATTATAATCCACCAGGAAAAAAAAAAACACTTTGGGATGAATTTGAGCTTCTCGAGTCTTTGTATCTGTGAATTATATTTAGTCAGTGAAATCTGGACCTTTGTTAAAGCTCTATAGTGCTTTGATGTTTTTATCCATAGGGTGTTAATTTTATAACGTACAGGGGTTATTCCAAACATGAGATGCTTTATTAGAGTGTGTGTCTTTCAGTTCTGGATGTGCTGTGGATCGGTACATATGTCTTCACGATAGTGTATGCTGCTGCAGATGGGACCTTGGAAACTTCCCCAGATGTGGTGATGGCTTTACTTCCAGTATGTATATGAAAGGGACATCTTTGTTCTTTGAGATTATAGAAGTCTTTTGATAAAGTTTGAGGCTTGGGCTTCAGTTTCATTTTGTTGCTGGCAGTGATGATACAACTTCAGATGTCAGGTTTCAGTGTTGCACCATGGGCCTGAGAACCAAAATTATGATGTCCACTGAAAGCATGTTCTATTGTTTAGTCATGAGGTGAAAAAATTGTAAAACTTGGCTTTTGCTTAAGCTATAAACTGTGAGTCTTGGTAGATGTTAACCTGATAAAGAAATTTTAGAAAAGCAGAACATATCTTGATTTTTAAAATTCTTTCGCTTATTCATCAGGTATTTATCAAATGCCTGCAGTGTGGTGGGCGCTGCTTTAAAGCTGCAAATACAGTGGTGAGCAAGGCAAAGTCCTTGCTTTTGTGGATCTTAATGTTCTATGAATGTGCTAGTCAATAAATAAGTGTAGGGTCAAGGAATGCTAAGGGCGATGGAGAAAATAAATCAGGGTAAGGGCTAGATGGTGGCCGGTGTGTGGTTTAGATTGGGTGGTCAAGGAAGGCCTCTGAGGAGTAGCCATCTGAGCTGAGAATGGAGTGAAGTGAGGGAGTGAGTCATTTTGAAGACAAGGAAGAACATTCATAAGATCTACAAAGTGTTAGGGAATTGCGTTTACAAAAACAAATGAGGCAGAGCTAATGTTTCTAAACCTGTATTTGCTTTCAAAGTCCAGAAAAACATTTAAAAATACATGTTAGCAGAAAGACCAAAAAAAATGCCATCTTTTAGAAGTCACTTTTAATCCTACCACTCAGAAATAACTTGATATTTTGGTATATGAATTTCCAGATTTTTTAAATACATAAATAAATTTCTAAATATAACAAACGTGGGAGTTACACTAGTTCTGTTTTGCAACCTTGTTTTACTTAGTAGTAAACTGCAAGCATCTTTCTATGTCAGTAAATCTGTATTTGTCTTTTGGATAGGTAATTTATTTAGCTCTTCTTCTACTGTTGAATACTCAGGTTGTTTTCAGTTTTCCCTTGTATTAAAGAATGCTGTGATACATTCTTTTATGTACTTTTTATATGATTATGTTTATTTTTTAGGGTAAATACCTAGAAGTGAATTTACTAAGTCAAGTGGTATATGCTTTTTTTGATAGGCTTTTGAAAACATTGCCAAAGTATCTTTTAGAGAAGTTGTATTAGTTTATATCCCTACCACCAGTGGACTAGCAGTTGCCCGTGTCAGTGTAGAGTGGTACCATTTTTAACTTTGCCAATCTGATATGTGAAAAACATGCGTTGTTTTTGTTTATTAATAACTCTTTTGGGTTCCTGATAAAATTGAATTTTAAAACTGTCTCTTGAGATGGCTTATTTCAAGATATTGTTAAGATTTTCTTATCCCCAGGGGTGATGTCAACACTAGCATTTATAGACTGCTACTTACGTTCCACGTACTGGGCTAGAAGCTTTATATGTGTCATTTCATTTCACACAACAGCCTTTGAAGTAGGTTTGGTAGACCCATTAGACGTGAGAAAACTGAGTATCAGAGAGGTTGAGTAATCTGTCCATGCTTATCCCACGGCCAGAAAGTGACAGAGCAGTTTGAATGCAGTTTGGTCAGTGGCCGACGTTTCTGTTCCTTGTACTACTTAACGCTGACTCTATGTCATGTCTGTATATTTGGACATAGAGTTTTGACTGAATTTTCTCATAAAACTTAAATGGTTTTGTCTTTTGAGATCCTTAACTGTGTAGGATTAAAGAAAAATCGCATATGAGATTTTTTTTTCTCATTCTGTTCATTGTAGAAAAAAGAAGAAAAGCACCCAGAGGTATTTGTGAACTTTATGGAGCCCTGCTACGGCAGCTGCACGGAGAGACAGCATCATTACTACCTCAGTTACATTGAAGAATGGTGAGCTGAGTACCAGGAAGGAGATCTCTGCTCTCACTGTCCAGTTGCACCTGAGTCACTTTGTTCCCACTTTGAAATTTTTTCTGTGAGAGAGGAAGATAGAGGCCCTGAACATATTTTCAGCTGATGCTAGATGATGCTTTTATAACTACTACTACTACTTTTTTTTTTTTTTATTGAGGTCACTTTGGTTTATAGCATTATATAAATTTCAAGTATACATCATTGTATTTCAACTTCTGTATAGACTGCATCGTGTTCACCACCAAAAGTCCAGTTGCCGTCCGTGGCTATGCACAGGTCCCTTTATCCCTTTCGCCGTCTCCCACCCACTTCCCCTCTGGTAACCACCTATCTGTTCTCTGATAACTACTACTTCTATTTTCCCAGTCTTGAATTATTTAGATCAAGTACTTACCCATTTTCTCAATAACCCCAGTGACGACATGAAAATACTGATGTTTAAGGAACATATTAAAAGTTTTCCCTCTGAGAGCAAAAGTTTCCCTTTGAAAGATAGATTACCTGAAGTAAAGCTTCTGTTCCTCTAACTAGATGATTCTGCTACAGGGTGGTATGTTTATTGGAAATTCCAACTTGATTCTGTTGTGTCTCTCCTTTGTCTTAAGTAGGTAGGCAGTCGGCTGAGTCTCTAGGACTGTATCCTGTAAACTAAAAAGTTAAGCTTTATATCTAAAAGCTTCTCACCTTTCTTCAACCATAGAGAAAACTTTGCCTTCCTCCTTGACATCTCGAGGAAATCCTCATAGATGTTACCACAGACTCAAGTCATGTTAGAACTGTTGCTGTGTTTGAATTTAATGAATCTTCTGGTTTTATTCTTTGAAGGGATTTAGTGCTGGCAGTATCTGCAGCTTCAACAGAAGTTAGTATCCTTGCTCGACAAAGTGACCAGGTAAATTTCTCTCTTTTGTCATGTTTGTGTGATACTTTTCTGAGAAAGATTTTGGAGGGAGTAAACTATGTGGTTAAGATTTAAATGAGGTCACTTCTCTTTTAATGAGCTCCTGGATGAGAGCAAAGATTAAATGACAAAGAGCCTTCGGCCGAATGGCTTGGATATTGCGTGGGACAAACACGGGTGTCAGATTTAGCAGTTCCCTCAGTGTCATGAAAAACCCTTCTCTTCTGTTAGGGTCCGTCCATGGTCTGTGGAAACATGCTGTGTGATCCGCCTCTGACAGGAGTATGCCTGGATGTATAGGGGGTTTTTCTGCCTTGTTCTGTTTTACTGTCTTTATTTTCTTCCTGTTACTTGAAGCTGCCCCTTCTGTTCAGTCAGCTATAATCCATTATGGAAGAGAACCATGCAGATCATACCAAGTTGTGACTCATCAGAAATACTTTCTGTTTGACTTTGAAAAACCACCAGAAAGCTGAACGCACCTTTGTGTGTAAACACCCGCTTCCCTTCTGTCGCTTTGTCCTGCTTGCAGGCAGCAGGGGGGCTGAGGTAGTCGAGGCAAGCCGTCCTCAGCCATCCTAAACCGACGTAGATGATGCAGTGACTACAGAGGAGACGCAATGGAAGGGAAACTCTTCTTTTTAAAATTCTGCCTTGAGTTTAAAAATGTTCTGTGCAGTACACAGACACTTATACCTCTTCAACCGTTCCACATTTATCCGTCATTCTCTGAGTGGCAGAGTGGCCCACTATAAGTGCATGGCTCTCATAGTGTGTAGGGTGGGCCACTTTGGGGTCACAGGCCAGAGTTCAGTGCACTTTGCTGCTCTTGGATTGACTTCAGTAACAATTTCCTAATAGCACAAATATTTTAGGTATTCATGCATTACAAATATACTTTTATTTTTGCTTTTTATCAAGATAATTGATGTTTATAGTTAAAAAATCAAATAGTAGGGGCCGGCCTGGTGGTGTAGTGGTTAAGTTCACCCGCTCCGGTTTGGCCGCCTGGGGTTCGCAGGTTCGGATCCCAGGCGTGAACCTGCGCACTGCTCATCAAGCCGTGCTGTGGCGGGTGTCCCATATACAAAATAGAGGAAGATGGGCACAGACGTTAGCTCAGGGCTAATCTTCCTCAGCAAAAAGAGGAGGATTGGCAACAGATGTTAGCTCAGGGCTGATCTTCCTCACCAAAAAAAAAGGTAGAGAAGGGCTTATAAATGAAAAAATCTCCCCTGCCCACCCTGTCCTGATCCAGAGCTGATCTCTTAAGGGGACCATTTTTACCTTGTAAACTTTTTCTTTTAATGGTTACCTCCTTATCCCTAAATAAGAATCCACTTCATCACTTGTTATTGGTTATTAATTTCAGACCTTATTGCTTTTATGAGGATTTAGCTCACATATGGCCTTCAGATCCCCCTCCTTCCTCTCGGTTGGGCTATAGCACTGTTTTAGTTTCTTCTATTGGTTACCTTGGTAACTTTAAGTAATGTTTTTTACCTTCAGTTCTTATGGTGTCACTATATACAGTATCTCTGGATCTTCCAATTCGTGAGAGGAATGTCTTAGCAACCCCATCCCTGCCCGTAGCACACCTGCCCCACTCCTGCCTTCCAGCTGCTGTTAGTGTGCCTCCTCTTTTGTAAAATCAAAACTGGTACTTTTTGTATTCTGTTCTGTGGTGATTATCAGGTCTTCTTTATTTTCTCTAGAGATTGTTTTTCAAAGTTGAAATCCATTTTGTTTATGTTATTATGAATGTGACTTATTATTCACTGCACAGCTAAGTCGTGGAGTACACTTATGTTCCCTTTTCTGAACGGCTTTTTCTTTTTCAGTTACTCACTGAGCACTAGTCCCCTTTGATTCATGTTGCCCAGTTTTGGTTAACACTGAAAGCTAGACAAATGTTAGTGATTTTTAAAAATCAAGGATCATTTGTTGGAAGGAGCAGAGCCCGCTCAAGCAAACTTAAGCAAACGGGGAGTTTTTTGAAAAGAGTTAGTGGTTTCTCAAGGAATCCAGGAGTAGGAGGAGTGAGCAGTGTGAGGAACTAACACCGGGAACTAAGACCTAAGGTTCCCTTCTGTCTCTGTGGGGGAGCAAGCACTGGACATCTGGCCAGCTTGGCAGGCTGCTCTGCTCAAGGCCGCAGTAGAGATGGCCTGGAGCTCCTGGTCCCAGTCCAAGGTTTCTGGGAGCAGATATTAACTGACTTCGTGCCCCTGTTGGATTGACTTACTGTGTTCAGGAATCTGCTGGGTTGTGGTGGACAGTTCCTCAGGAAGTGTTCACAATAGTGATTATTTATTCACAAGGCAGGGACTCAGTGTACCAGGAACAGGTAGGTTGATTTGGAAAATTAACCCCTTACTTGCTGGGGGTACTCATGGCTTTTAGACTGTCTTTCCAGATTTCAGAGTCTCAGTCAATACATAACTCTTAAAGCAAGTGAGTTGACTTTTTTCTTCTCTCCTGTTTGAACAGTGCTTGGAAGAATCAATGCAAAGCTCTAACCAACATGGCATTTTGTTCGTCTGCTACGTCTTGTTCTTTTTTCCAGATTAATTGGGAATCTTGGCTCCTGGAGGATTCTAGTCGAGCTGAACTTCCTGTGACAGACAAGAATGATGATTCCTTGCCCATGGGAGTTGCCGTAGACTACACTAACCAAGTGGAAATCACCATCAGTAAGTGTGGCCTGGTGTAGCTTAGTGCAGAGATAGTCTTCTTCCTAATCATGGTTAATATTTAAATCCCCTTCTACATTTTCATGACAGAATCCACTCTGTTGGGCACTTTTAACTTCTGGTAGCACATTTCTATTTGAAGAGTGATATGGAGTGCATTGTGACAACACTAATCTAATTTGAATGGGCACTCATTGATGAGACCAAAGCAGGGCACCCCATGTGTGTCTGTCTGTCTGTCTGTGTCTCTGCTTGTCTGTGTACGCTTTAGAATATGACTGAAATATACAGTGGGATTTCATAGCTTTGTTTCTTTGCCCACCCGGTTCCCTGGTGACCTCCCAAGGGAACACCCTAATCAGACACTGTATACCAATACTTGATTTGAAGGCACGGATTAGAAAATGGAGACCTCAAACACATGGCTTCCCAGTTGGGCCCGCGTGTGTGCTCTGAGTATATCCTCTTCTGCTAAAGCTTGGCAGGGCCACAGTCCAAAATGTCCAAGTGCAACAGAAGACGTATTCTTTGCTCTTTGGTGCTTCAGTTTAGAGAAGTGGCCCCATTAAATTCCTTGTCCATTGCCTGGTCAGGTTATTTGGTCTGATCAGCTCATTTACTCTGATTCTCTTGAAGTCTTAATTGACAAAATATAAGCTTATGATTCAACTTTGAGTGAATATAAAGTAGTTTGACTCGCTTTTCCATGTCCTACCATGTGTTTTCTAAAGAGTCTAGTCTGTCATTTTTTACTAAACCAGCCACTTCCTAGAGACTCCTGTCTGGTCAGGGGAACGCTGAACCTGCCTCCCAGACACTGAAGCACTTGTAAGAATCGAGGGAGGTTCGGGAGAGTCAAGCCACCACGGGACTGCTGGAGCTTCCACGTAGGGCCTAGCAGAATGGTGGCGACCTGATAAGGGCAGTAGCTCTCTTTGAAGACCTGTTTCATGAAGGGCTATGCAGATCTGAATCAGAACAAACTGACTCGCACATGTGGTGGAATGAGTCCAGTAAGCGCCTTCTGCCCAGACTGCTAGGGCAGTCTTGCCCTTCTGGGCCCAGGCCTTTCAATTGGCTTGGCTCTTTGATCACTTTTGTTTCTTTTTTAACAGATGATGAGAAGACTCTTCCTCCTGCTCCCGTTCTTATGTTACTTTCAACAGATGGTGTGCTTTGTCCATTTTATATGATCAATCAAAATCCCGGGGTTAAGTCCCTCATCAAGACACCAGAACGGCTCTCATTAGAAGGAGAGCGACAACCCAAATCATCAGGTATGTGCCTCTTCCTCTAGGTATCCCCGAGATGGAATGCCAGGGGCTTGTTCAGGGGTATCCCCAAGGATGAGAGCTGTGGAAGGACACTTTGTGGTCATCTGTCTCTGGCCAGTCTCTCTCCATGAGGCAGGACTAATCTTGTCCTTGAGTACGCATGTGCACACTGACCTTCCCTCACGCCTACACGTTCTTCTCCACCCTTTAGAGAAAGTGGCAGCTCAGCCAGATGGATCCCATCAGGTAATTTACCAACAGTATCCTATTGTAAGACTTTATATTGTATGGTCTGAATCCTAAAGACATGGTTAATCATGAGGGATTGGTTAAATAAATGATTGTAGATTCATACAGTGAAATGCCATGTAACTCTTAAAAATGTTATGTTTATTGACGAGGAAAAAGTAGACTATATCATGAAGAAGCACTATATACTGTGTGATTCCTTTTTAATGAGAAAATATATATACGTAGAAAAAATACTTAAAAGATTAATACTAAAATCCAAATGGTTGTTGCTGGGTGGTGGGGACATGGGGATTTTCTTTTCTTTTTATTTATTTATATTTAATTTTCTTTAGTTTTTTTCCCTCTGAAAATATTACTTGAGTAATATATGTTTATTGGAGAAAATTAGAAAATACAAAAACAAAATCATTTAAGAGCCCATCAGTCATTAAGCAGTACCCAGTCAACATTTTGGTACATGTTCTTCATGCACATAAATGCACACATAGAACTGCCAATTTTGTATTTTCAAAATTTTCACAGAGACTTTGTATCACTTGTCAGAACAAAATATAAAACTTTTTAAAGGACATTGTTTCATATTTTGGAATTTCACTAATATTTCTCTTTTTGAATTCTGTGAGTATATAACTATTAAGATTTTTTTCTTCTAGTATGGCTAAAAACGCTCATAGTGTAACCAGTTCCATATCTAAGGAAAAATATGTTGACCAATTGGGTTCGATAAGGTTGACAATACTTAGGGATCTCTTCTGATTGCTTCCCGTTGCAGAGTGAGTTGTACATTGTAAACAAAGCCATTCAGATACTTGGGCTCCTACCAGCTGGCAATGTGACCCCAAGTAATACGCCAGGTGCCTTGCATAGACTGTATCAGTGTTGTTGTGTTGGGCTATCTCATTATCTTTTTTAATTTTTATTTTATTTTATTTTTTTTCCCCCCAAAGCCCCAGTAGATAGTTGTATGTCATAGCTGCACATCCTTCTAGTTGCTGTATGTGGGACGCGGCCTCAGCATGGCCGGAGAAGCGTTACATCAGCGTGCGCCCGGGATCCGAGCCCAGGCCGCCAGTAGCAGAGTGCGCACGCTTAACTGCTAAGCCATGGCACCGGCCTTGGGCTATCTCATTATCTACAGTGTGTGTACTCTTTGAATTGTTTTTTTTTTTTTTCCCCTTAAGTGGTCCTGACTACCATGAACTACCTAAACCCAGTTGCCTGGTCTGTTGTAACAAGCATTGTGCACTCTGTGAGGTCGGGAGCCTGTGCGATGACGTTTGTTTCTGAGCACGGTTCATGTGACGGACTTTGCTACTAGCTCATTAAACCCCAGAGCATAAGCAGAGGCCAGTTTTACTGTTCACTTTTCCTAGAGAAACCCCCCTCTTCCCTCACTCTTGGTGAGACGTAACAGCCATGTTTAGATGAGTGGAAGAAGGCCGCTGAAGGGGGAGAAAGTGTCCCAGCAGCTCACCAGCTCTAGCTAAAGCCTGGGTCATGGGTTCAGAAGACATTAATGGGAAAGATCAGAAATAGCATCATGGTTTTCAAATTAGTTCTATTTTCAGTGGAAAATACCTATGATTTCTTTCAGCTCTGGCATATACTTTTCATGTTGGTCTACCAAATGTGCATGGAAGTGATTAACATTTATATTTTTGTATCTTTAAAGAAGTTAGCAGTTGCTGGTTCCATATTGTGTAAAAGATGTATTAACAGAATAGATTTGCTCACATTATTACACTTGCATAGAAGTGACAATTTACTTGGGTCTTTGTTTTTAGAAGGTGGTATTTTCATACTTGTATCCTAAGTATTTCATTGCTTTAGATGAAGTAAAGATAAACTATTATCTTGGACAATTTGGAAGAACCAAGACCCATTAATATAAATGTATTGCTAAAAAATATTGCTCTCTTACATATTTAGTTAGTTAATTTAGAGAATTAACATGTTTACTTTACAGAGAGCTTGGAAAATAGAAAAAATTTTAAACCTGCCTTTTGGGGTATTCTCCCAGTGTTTTTTTTTCATAAACATCTTTCTTCATAGTTGTAATCATATTGTGTACATAATTGATATGCAGGTTTTTAATTTAAATTGTGTTTTTCAGCTTCTTACATAATCTTCATGATTTATTTAAAAGAGTGCTTAGTATTCCATTGAGTATTTTTTACCATTTGGCTTGTATTAAATGTCATTTTCATTTTTTTTTTTTTTGTAATTTTACTTATTTTTTTTTTCACCCACAAAGCCCCAGTAGATAGTTGTATGTCATAGCTGCACATCCTTCTAGTTGCTGTATGTGGGACGCGGCCTCAGCATGGCTGGAGAAGCAGTGCGTCGGTGCGTGCCTGGGATCCGAACCCAGGCCGCTAGCAGCGGAGCTCGCGCACTTAACTGCTAAGCCACTGGGCCGGCCCTGTCATTTTCATTTTTTAGATTATTTTCATAGGCTTTATTCTTAGAATTGGGATTACTGGGTCCATTTTTTATGATTTTTGAGACGTAATGCTAAAATGTTTTCTAAAAGACTATGTAAAGTTAGGTACCTACTAGTGATAAAAAGTTTCAGGTTCATTTTACCCTTTCAAACATAGGGGATTGTATATATTTAAATTTTGATTATTTGGAGAACAATAAAAAGTGTGCCTCATTTGAATTTGCATTCCTTTGAATAGAGAAATCGAATATATTTTCTTTTTGTGAATTAGGTTCCCAGCTTATATCCATTAAAGTCTTGAAATTCTTTTAATCTCAATTTGTGTGAGCTTTTTAAAAAAATAAAACATATTGTCATTTGCTGCAGATTTTTTAAATTTCATTTACCTTTTAGTTATGTAACAGTTTTTGCACATGGTCAAGTCGTAATCTTTTCCTTTTGTGATTTTTTTTGTCACTTCTAAGTTTATCAAGTTGTTAGACTCTCAGAGACTTACCTCACTTTTCGCCGCCTTTGTCTTGAGGTGTATGTGTTTATGTGTGTATCTTTAATTCATCTGGAATTGCTTTTAGGAGGTGAAGGTCAGAATTAAAATCTTTTCCTGATTGTTAATGAAATGTGGCAGAATGACATTTTTCACTGTAACATTGAGAAGTATGTTTTTTTCTGTATTACTCAACTGGGTGTCTTCAAAGTCCTGTCAGTCTGTCTTTCTTCATTTCCTTTTTCCTTCAAAGTTTTATGCATCTTATCATATGGAAAGTCCAGTATGAACTCTGCTTGCATTTTTTTTTTTCTTCTTGAACTGGGACCATTATTTCTGACTTCATTCTACCACTTTCCCACTTGCTTTCTGGTATGTGGACCTCCACTGTTAAAATGCTAATTTCTCCCTTCCTTTTTCTCCGTTTTTTCCATTGCAGGAAGTACTCCCACTACCCCAACCTCCTCTCAGGCCCCGCAGAAATCCGATGCTTCAGCGGCTGCAGCTCCTGTCTCTGTCTCCCCTTCATCGCTGGCTGCTCCCACCTCCACCTTCTCTTTGCCTTCTGCTGTCGGAGCCCCTGCCGTGTTCTCCTTTGCTTCTTCATCCTTGAAATCATCTGGTTCTGTCACTGGGGAGCCCCCTCCGTATTCCAGTGGCTCTGACAATTCTAAAGCAGCCCTGGGCTCTGGTGCATCCACCTTCTCTTTTGCTTCTCCTGCTCAAGCCTCCCTAGCTCCCACCCCTGCAGCCTCTCCCTTGGCACCATCAGCTGCTTCGTTCTCCTTTGGATCATCGAGTTTTAAGCCTACCCTGGAAAGCACACCAATGCCAACTGTGTCTGCTCCAAACATAGGAATGAACCCCTCCTTCCCAGTGCCAGCCTCTGCAGTCAAGGTCAACCTTAGCGAAAAGTAAGTAACACATAAAGTTTGATTGTTCTGTAGGATGGCTGGAGAGCGTGTTACTCACTGGAAAGAGAGTCAGTGTGTGGGGAGTTACTGAATAGATTTTCTCTTTTTTTCTTAGTAATACTTGCAAATGGCAAAAATTCAGACAACATAAAAGATTTGCATTTCTTCAGTGGACAGAGTCCAGAAGAGTCTCTTAGAATTTCATATTTTTTTGACTATTAGTTTATTTTATTTATATTTTTGTCTTTAAAAAATAGACTTTATTTTTTAGAATGGTTTTAGATTTGCAGAAAAATTGGGAAGATATTACAGAGAGTTCTCACCCACACTCAATTTCCCGTTACTAACGTCTTACATTACTGTGGTACATTTGTACAATTATTGAAGAAACATAGATATGTAATTATTATTATTTTGTTTGTCTTATTGAAGTAACGTTGGTTTATAACATTATATAAATTTCAAGTGTGCATCATTATATTTCGATTTCTCTGTAGGCTACATCGTGTTCACCACCCAAAGACTAATCACCATTTGTCACCATACACATGTGTCTATCACCCCTTTCCCCCTCCTCTCTAGAAGTTTGTATTCAAGTGCTTGTTTTGTTTTTTCAGATTTCAAATGTAGGAGATATTCTTTATTTTTAAAAATGAAACAATACCGAGTATACATCCTGTAAGGGAAATGAATCTCCTGTAGTCCTTTTTCCCCTTGTGTCCACTGTGTCCACCCTTGACTCTCTCTCAACTGTTTTCTACACAGCCACCAAAGTGATCTTGTGAAATTGTAAGTACGTCAGACAACTGTCTTACTTGACAATCCCCAGTGGCTTCTCGTTGCTCTTGGAGTACAATCCAAACTCCTCAGCATGGTATTCCAGCTTCCTCCAGATCAGGGTCCTACCAACTCGCTTAGATCTTGTTTTTCACTCCTTTATCTGCCTGTTGTGTTCTCCCCACTAGAATGTAGCTTCTTGAGGGAAGTAATCCCTTGTACATTGTAACCCTTCCCAAGGTGACCATTGAGTGTAAACACTGCCAGCTTTCCCCGCTTATCTGTACTGTCCTTGTTGCTGTGGGGGTGTGCTGGTTGTCGCCACTGCCGCTGCCATTGTCACTGTGAATATTAAAGCGTCACACAGCCACTTGATTCTAATGGTTGCCTTGTATTCTACTTTGTGGTTGCACTGTAATTTATTTGACCCGTCATCTAATGCTGGATTTCTGGGTTGTATGCAGACTTTTTGCTCATTAGGTGAAACTTACCTTAACGTTCCTACTGGACCATAAGCATCCCCAAGATGGTGACCTGCTTTCCTCTTCCTTCCTCACTGTCCAGAGGAAGGGATCACCCCAAAATGAATTCTCAGTAATTTCCTTGACAAAAGGAGGGTACTAAACTCTCCTAAAGCATGATTGAGTCCCACCCTCTTTTTTTTACTCAGCTTGATAGAATAGAAAATAAGCATTTCATATCATGACAAACTTAGTTTCATTTTCATATTAAGTACTTATTTGATATTTTCATTGAATAATTCATTCCTAAATAAGTAGACGATAAGATAGATGTTTCCTTGCAGCTTTCACCTTTTATAAGAAAGAGCTAAACATTTATGTATCATGAAGGCGAAAATGTATGGATAGCAATTTATCGTTTGATGATGTGGCTCATGAGCAGTGTGAAAGACTCATACAGGTTCCTCTGATGCATTCGGGCTGCCGTTTTCAGGTTTACTGCCGTGGCTACCTCTGCTCCTGTTAATAGCTCACAGAGCGCACCCTCGATGGCGCCATTCTCCTCTGCCTCCAAACCAGCTTCTTCTGGACCTCTCAGCCACCCTGCACCTCTCTCAGCATCACCCAGTTCCATGGCATCAAAGTCTTCAGTCTCTGCCTTGGCATCAGGTATGATTTTAAACTAATATCTTTAGGGCTCAGTCCTGAATTCTGAGATTAACATTTTTCAGTTGTTAGGAATCCTAGCTAACATAGTTGGACTAGATTATTTTTTCTTGCTTCCTGTATCTCACACTAGTCTGCTATGATTTTCGTACTCTGAGTTGGGAGGATTGAAAATGGCTTCAATGTTGCCACGCTTGCCTCCCTGACATTTCTTGTGGAGCTAAGAGAACTTGATGATTCAAAGGAAGTATCTTGTTGTGGGGCGTTTATCTTCATGTGGAGCCTGCCCCATGTGAAGGACAGTTATGGAAAAATTCTGTAAGCTACACTGAAGAGAGGGAGCCTGCCGTGGCTGTTAGGCTTGTTGCTTCTGGTGATGTCTGGATTTTCACACTCAGACCTACTGTAAACTAGTTTACTAAATAAAGATCATATATGTGAATAATTATTATAGCCAAGTTGAATTAAAATATATTATAAAACTCCATGAGCAAATGTACCTAGTTTATCTTTTATTTTCCTTTCAAACCTACAGAAAGGTTGCAAAAATTGTATGATGAATATTATGCCCTTCACCGAGATTCAACACTTGCTGACATTTTGCACCATTTATTTTATCTTCTTTTTTTATGTAATTTTTTTCTAAAATATCTGAAAGTTAATTGCAGACGTGCAACACTTTACCTCTAAATACTTCAGTGTATGTCTCCTAAAACCAAGGATGCACAATACATTATCACACTCAGGAAATTTAACAGTAATCTACAGCCCATGTTGACATTTCCACAGTTGTCCCAATAATGTTCTTTATGGCTTTTTTTCCCCCTATCCAATCAAGGAGCACACATTATATTCTGATTTTGTCTTGTTGGTCTCAGTCTCAAACAGTTCTTCACCTTTTTTGTCTTTCTCGACATTGGCATTTGTGAAGAGGCTAGGCCAGTCGTTTTGTGGACTGTCCCTCAATTTGGGTTTGATTGTTTCCACATGATGATTCAGGTTCAGCGTTTTGGGCAGTAATCCACATGGGTGATGTGCATCACATCACATGATCTCATTTTGTCCTGACATAAGTGATGTTAATTTGCTCATATGGTTACGGTGGTGTTGGCCAGATCTGTCTCAGTTATTAAGTTGGTTATTTTCGTGAATGCCGGTGATAGTACCTAGCCAGATGTATTTGGGTAGCCTTTTGGTGTTTGAGTGTCAGGAATAATTTTATCTTGGTGAATACTGAGCAAGCCTTGAGCTGTGAATCCTGAAATCTTCTCTCTACCTCTTGCTCAGGAGAAGGGCTTCTTCCTTCTGGAGTTTGCGCAAGTCACCTCATTCCTGGACTTTTCCTCAAATTCTGAAAGACATTTGTCTATGACCCCAAAAGTTAAGAAGCCTTCCCTTAGTCTTTCACACCTCTTTAGAGTTTGGAAGAGGAAACTTGAACTATAATGCACGTATAGTTTCTACCTTTCCACTGTTCACCACTCAAATCTCCCTACCCCCCTATTGCCATTACTTAGTTCTTAAAGTTTGGTGGGTCCTAGATTATTAGATTGCAATCCCAGTTGCATGCTAGACTCATTGGGGGATCCCATCCCTAACTGTTTACTCAGGCTCTCTGGGGGTGAGGATTGGGTGTGAGTTTCTGGTGTATTTGTTTTTTAAAAGCTCCCTAGGTGATTTTAATGTGCAATGGGGCAAAACTTGTCCTAGAGGCTTCCAGGAGGGTCCTGAAGACCCTGTGAGTTCTTACAAGGTGATGGGGATTATCATTCTCGTCCAGTGGTTTTAAACTTTGTCCCCAGTTCCCAGAGATGCCTCAGGAATCTCTGTGGGGAGTAAGGATGGGCCACATGGCCAGTGTCCTGGGCCTGCACACAGATATACACACCTACTACACTTTTATCTGCTTTATAAAAAAGAGTTTCACATCTGAAAATATATGTTTTTTAGTTATTTTGGAACAGAGGCTGACACAACTGTGGACATTACTCTTGATAACAAAGACCATAAAATGGGGGCCAGGGACAATGAGAAACATTTTTTTTAGATTTCAGGAAAGGACATTTGTGATGAGAGAAATAAGGGGAATAAATACTGTCTGTTTTAACTGACTTCTTATTCTAGTAGGGCGATCTGCTCAGGGCAGTCCAAGTGCAGTGCCCTCAATGGTACAGAAATCACCTAGGATTACCCCTCCAGTGGCCAAGTCAAGCTCCCCCCAGGTATGTTTAAACTCAGCGTACAATGCTGTGTGTATTAATTTACTTCTCCAAATGTACATGTTTATAAAATAGGTTTTCGTGTTTTAGAATTCACACCTTTGAAATAGTATTTAGGACCGTGTTACAGGAAATCCCGAAGTATGTGCTCATAAAAGCCGTTGATCTCAACCCCAAAGTCTTAAGAGTTGTTTTCTCTGCTGGTTCCTGAGCTTTTCCATGCTATGCTGTTCAGTTTGTTGTGTTCTCTTTATATCAGAAAGGACTAGCACCTGATTTTTTTTTTCTCATTCCCAAAGTAACCAAGAAATCTATCCAGTGACTTCTTTTTCTCTGCCTTGCATAACATCTCAGTATATTTTACTTGCTTAATTTTTTTATTGACATATAATACACATAGGAAAAAGTACACATGTGATACATGTACACCTCAGTGAATTGTCACCAGCTGAATACATCTTAGTAACCAACACCCAGGTCAAGAAATAGAACATTACCAGGACCCCAGAATTCCTGCTCATGTGCACCCTTCTAGTCAACTACCCTTGCCAAGGGGGACTCACTATTATGCTTTCGAACGGCATAGCTTAGTTTAGCCTGTTTGTACCTTCTATAAAATAGAATCACACCGTGTGTATTCTTATATCTGGCTGTTTTGCTCAACATTATGTTTGTGAGATTTAGCCGTATCATTTTTGCCATATGGAATTCATTGGGTGACTATACTACAAGTATTCATTCCACCTGGACGGGCATTTGAGTCGTTTCCAGGTTTAAGTTATTGTGAATAGCATTGCTCTGTCCTTGCTGGTTGATGTCTTGGATGAACATATGCATGCATTTCTGTTTGGCGTATACCTAGGAGTGGAATTGCTGGCTCATAGAATATGCATATATTCCTCTGTAGTAAATTCCACCAGGAGTATATGAGAGTCCAGCTGCTCCACAGCCTCACCAATCTTGGTATTTTTCATTTTTTATTGTAGTTGTATTTTGTGGTTTTAATTAGTATTTCCCTGATGAACAATGAAGTTGAGCTTTTTTTTATATGATTATATTGTCCATTTGAATATCTTCTTTTAAGCGGGATCTGTTTAAGTCTTTTATTCCTTTTTCTATTGAGTTGTCTGACTTTTATTGATTTGTAAGAGCTAGTTCCTTGTGGATAGGCACACATGCGCGCACACACGAGCACACACTCACACGTAACTTTCTCACTCTGAATTGCCTTTTCATTCTCTTCGTAGTTTCCTTTGATACCTGCAGATTCTTAATTTTAATATAGTTCATATATCACTTTCTTTTATGATTAGTGCTTTTTGTGTTCTGTTTCAGAAATCTTTTTCTATTCTAAGGTCAAAAAGATATTTTCCTATGTGTTTCTAAAAGCTTTATTATTTTGCTTTTCATATTTAGAGTTATAGGCTATATTCTCAGTTTATTTTATGGTTTAACTTAAAGAGAATTTTATGTCAATTTCCCACTTATTTATTTGAGTGCCCTCAGAGCAGGAGTCATGTCTTTCCCTTCTATCTCTCCCCCAGCCAACCCCCTCCTGTTCCCAGCACACCTGTATGGGGCACACAGTAAATGCCCAGTTTACAGGTCTAGCTTTTGGCATAATACATGACGCATGGCATTTATTAAATAAATGTTTGCTGTTTTAATGAATGTTTGTACAGTCTAAAAACTCTCTACATGTTAATTGCTGTAGGTATCAAATAATCTAAAAGCCATCTCAATTTATAATACCTCTAAAGCAGAATTCTTGATTTCTGTCTCTCCCAGAACCTATTCCTATTCTAGTGTCCCCATCTCAGTAAGTAGCTCTAAGATTTGCTCAAGGCCCAAACCCAGAAGTCATCCTAGATTTCTCTCTTTAACAGAACCTCCTCGCAGTCTGTGCTAGCAGGAGGTCTTGTCAGCTCTACTCCAATGTGGTGTATGTCATAAATCCATGTCTCTGTTATCCCTGCCAAGGTCATATTTCAGGCCATTATCTCTCACCTTGTTAGTCTCCTGACTAGTCTCCCTATTTCTTCTCCTGCCTCTCACTGTCATCCATGCTCTACTTAGCAGCAAGAGGGACCTTTTAAAATCATAAATCAAAGAATAGTTTAAACTCTCTTAAAACTCCACTAGTAGCTTTCCAACACACTTAGAATAAAATCCAAAGTCCTTGGTATGACCTTACACGACTTGCCCCTGCTTGCCTCCAGCTCCCTCCCTGCCTGCCTCCCTGACTTAACTGTGCCCACGTTTATCTCTTTGCCTAGAGCATGCCAGTGTCTTTATCACCTCAGATTCTTTGCACTTGGCTCTTCTTGCTGCCTAGAAGATGCTTCCCCCAGCATTTTCTGTAGCTTTTTCCCTTACTTCAGGTCTCAGATCAGAGGCAGCTCTCAGTGAGGGCTTTCTAGGCCATCTCATCTCCAGTAGCACCCACTTTTATTCTCTGTATGTTCCCATTTACTTTTTCATATCGTTTAACACCAGCTGAAATTATCTGATTTGTTTACTACTTCTTATTCGTCTTGTGCCAACAGAAGATAATTTCCATAAGAGCAGGGACCTCATCTGCCTCGTTTACCTCTATGTCCACTGTCTAGAACATGCCTTATACCAAGTAGGTACCCAGTAAATATGGATTCAGAAGAATGAATGATGGAACATGACTTTATTAAGAGAATGCCACTGCCTGTGATAGGCACTGACCCAGCTGCTTTACGAAGCCACAACTTGTGGTATTGGATGCATTTTTAAACCTTTTGCTCCATTTCAGACAAAATCACTTCAGCCACCTGTCACAGAAAAGCAGGGACATCAGTGGAAAGAGTCTGATCCTGTGATAACTGGAATTGGGGAGGAGGTAAGTTTGTTCCTGCAGATTGTTTCCAGAAGTTCTTCTGACAGCCTTGATGGCTCTGAGTACAGACTCCTACATGACTGTTTTATTCTGGCTTTGAACCTTGGTGTGTCCCAGAGTCTGTGCCATTAGTGAGCCCAGTAGCAGTGCCATTACTGCCGTGCCGTTCAGACTGAGGAGTCTCCTTATTTGTGGCTTCTACAGATCGCTCACTTTCAGAAGGAGTTGGAAGAGTTGAAAGCCCGAACTTCCAAAGCCTGTTTCCAAGTTGGCACTTCTGAGGAGATGAAGATGCTGCGAACAGAATCAGATGACTTGCACACCTTTCTTTTAGAGATTAAAGAGACCACAGAGGTTTGTGTTTATTGGTATTCTTCCTCAATTGAATTGCACCTCAAAAAATCGTTCTCCGCTACTTTATCTCTTCAGGGATCACCAGTGTTGTTTTTATGTGGATGGGTGGTTTACTTAGGAATGCCTGATTTCAGATCCTGCCTGCAGCACTTAATAATAAATTATGTGACTTTGAGCAAGTTAATCTAGCTACTCTGTGTTTTAGTGTTCTTATACAGAAAATGGAATAATAGTTTCTACCCCATTGACACATACAAGGGACTCCATAAAAGTTTATTATAGTTGTTAATTTAGTTTAGGTATATTTGAAAATTTACTATCTTTTTTTTCTCGTCGTGTAAAAGCAGATTTTAATGAAGATATCGTGGGTCATTTACAGGAGAAAATTTACTATCTTTTATAGTAAGTTGTTAGGTTATGAAATGTTAGGTTTTAAAAAAAACAGAATACTTAAGAGCATATACAGTATAAAAATATCAAATATTTGTTAATAGTATTATTTACTTTGTTACTATTATTCCTACTTACTGTGTGCCAGGCACTGTACTAACCACTTTACCTGTATTATCTCATCAGATCCTCACAACTTGCCTGTGTGGTAGGTACTATTATCCTTTCGATTTTGCAGGTCAGGAAACTGAGGCTTAGAGAGGTGAAGTAATTTTCCCAAAGCCACCCAGTTACTGAGCTTTAGTGCCAGGATCCCAGTTCAGACTGTCTGACTCCAGCGCTCTGGTCTTAAATAACATACTTGCAAAGAGGCAAGTTCTCCAGAGTGTTAGCAGTGATTGTCTTCAGGTGGTAGGATTATCAGTACTGTCAATACTTGCCTTATTTTCTGAGTTTCTGATCATTAGAATATGTACTTTTTTAATGAGGAAGAAAAATAGTTTTTTAAAGAATGAGCTTTAGTATTTTTCTTTCCAAGCAGTGAAATTCTTTTTTTTGCTTGACTATTAACTATATTCAGATGTTTATCATGTTAAATATTTGAGAAACACTGCCTTCCCCGATCCAGCCAGAAAGGTTTATGTCTTAGAAATACCACTTTTTGTATCAATACATCCTTGTACCTTTTCTAGTCTCTTCATGGGGATATAAGTACCCTGAAAACAACTTTACTTGAGGGCTTTGCTGGTGTTGAAGAAGCCAGAGAACAAAATGAGAGAAATCGTGACTCTGGATATCTACATTTGCTCTATAAGAGACCACTGGACCCCAAGAGTGAAGCTCAGCTCCAGGTAGGAGAGTCCAGCCAAAGCGTGTTGTTTAAACAAACTCCTACAACAACCACTCTCCTTTCTGAGGTGTGGGCTTGGGTGGCTGCCCTTAGGAGGTTGTTAATATCCTGTGACTAATTTACCCACGTCCCACAGACTTCCTTAACTGTAACAAAGAAAATGGCACTTTTCCACTTAATGTTTTTTGGATTAAACAAAAATATAATTCTTAATTAAACCTTAAGCTTGGTAGAGAGTGTGCTATTGAAAAAGTTATATTTAGACAGCAAATCATAGATAATAATTGTTAAACCACCAGCTATTCGTTGAGCGCCAGGTACTCTGCTGAGTGTTTTTTATGCATTATTTCTAGTCTTCAGAACCAGTTGCTCTGAAAGGTGAGCATTACTGATTCCGTTGTACCGATAAGGAAATTGAGCCTCATAGGCTAAGGAGTTTGTCCAGGGTCGTGTTGCTGCTAAGAGTGGAACCAGAATCCAAACGGTCACCTGCTGGGACTCTTTCCTGTACACCATGCTTAGCAAAGTTACTTCTCTCTTAATTCTTGATTACTCTTATTCATTGTTTTATTCTGGTTTTGTTTTCGTCTTTTCAGTTTATTCAAAACTGTTGTGCTACAAGCTTTGGTGGGGCTCATCTCCCTCCTCCACGCATTTCCCTAGAATCCTGGTGGGAAAGGGTGCACAGATGGTAGCACTGGTCTCTCTCACCTAGGATGTGAGGGTCTATGAGTATGCCGAATCCCTTCCTGCCCAGAAAATCCACCATTTCCATCCCACACCTGGTAAACTTACTGACAGTAGGAAAAATGAAAGAAATGGTCCCTTCTCCCGGAAAGATTGAGGAACCCCTGCTGTGTCCCGCAGCCCTTGTGGCATTCCTAGATGTGTCCTCGTCCTGTGGATCCCCTAACTCTCTTAGTAAGGGAGAGTGGACCACTTGCCTACCACTCGTCAAATTGCAGGCTGCTATGTTGCATCAATTACACTTTCTTCTTACATGCCTTTCACTTCTTGTTCTGTGTCCAAACTGAAAGAAAAGCATAAAGCTTTTGGGGGACACTTTGCCCATTCAAAAGTAAATCACTTTGGTTTTTCACAGTGCTCAGTAGATAATAATAGCTAGCATTTGAGTGCATACCATGTATAAGAGAAAGGTAAGGAAACAGAGATATTGGAACTACCCATTCTCACCACTAGTAAATGTGGGACTCTTGACCCTGGGCAGTCTGGCTCAGAGCTTGTGCTCTTAATCACTATGCTACAACGTGCAATCCCTCCTGCTGGGTAGGTGGCAGTGGGAAAGATGAACATATAAATGTAATGTGGGCTATGTTGCTATGGGATTACAGATGAGGGAGCAGCGAAGCCACAGAAAAGAAGTATACGTGATGGACCTTAAAAGAAAAGTTGTTTTTTTCTGGTAGACAAAGTTGGGAGGGCATTCAGAAGACACAGCATCAGCTAATGCACAGAGGTATGATCACATTTGAAGTGTTCAAAGAAAAGGGCCTCCTTGTAGTCATTGAGTATTGAGGTGAAATTTATGTTTGATGCTAAGGTAACTGCTACCTCCTGAAATCATCCTGGCTCTTTTTAAATGACATTTTCTCTTTTTCCGTTGGGGCATATACCTTTATCCAAGAATAATTTTGAAAATACGGTTCAGCACAATAAGATCTTTGTACAGGGGTAAAGAGCTCTTCCCAGTGCGTGGCACATTGTCTTCATGTGTATACGTATTTAATGGAAAGCTTCATCTTTAATTTTTGAAAGTCAAGTTGTATAGCCATGAAGGTTAACACTGGACCAAAATTTAAAGAAAATTATTGTAGGCCTAAAATAAGTTAATAGATAGGAGTTTTAATAATGGTAAATTTAATTTCTAGCACTGATTTTATTCATTGTTTTTGAGAAGAAATGAGTTTTTCTCAACTGGCAAGATGACTTATGTGTTCTACGCTATGAATAAATAGGTTTCGAATTATTTTCAGCCTGTTTTGTAGGATAATTTTGTCTAGATTACAGTTAATTTCATGGGTGGGAGAGCAAAAACAAAATGGATGCACGATTGGAGTGCCAGAGTGCAGTGGAAAATTCCTAGACCATGTGAGATACTTTACAGAAACTGAAACAGGAGAACTAAGCAAGAACATTTGTTCCCTAGAGGCGCTAGGCCAACACGCCCTTTCTGTTTCCCTTTTCTTTGCACCACCTCTCTGACACACAATTAAAAAGGTTGAGTGTCTGTTTTTCATTTCAATTATAACATTCTAGTGAATATATTAAAGCCTGTTATGTTTTCCTTGTACATTATGGTCCTCAATATAGAAATATTTCAAAATTATTTTGCCTGTTGATAACCTTCCTCCAAGCTACTGGAAGATGGAGTCGTTTGCCTTTTCATTTTTCTCTTGCAGGAAATTCGGCGCCTTCATCAATATGTGAAATTTGCTGTCCAAGATGTGAATGATGTTCTAGACTTGGAGTGGGATCGGCATCTGGAACAAAAGAGGAAACAAAAGTGAGCGAGGTCTCTCGTCCACCACGGGTTGTAGTAGACACTGCTATATATAGCCTTTTTAAAAGATGGTTTAGGTGCATTTATTAAAAACCCTTCAAATGTTCATTCTCTTTGACTCAGTCATTCTACTTCTAGAAATTTGTTCTACAGAAATAATAGCAAGGCTCACAACAATTTACATAAAAGAATTTATATTGCAGCACAATTTATGATAGTGAAAAATTGGAATCAACCTGATTATCCAAAACTTAGAGGAGTGGCTAAGTAGATCTGGTCACAATTTTTTTTCGTAATACAGAATACTGTGTAACCATTGACTAGCATGTTCTCAAAAAAATCTTTTTAAATATATTTTTTATGTCACATGAAATGTATAAAATATATAATTATACAACTATAATTATTAGATAATATATAGAATATGAAAAATATTAAAAAATGGAAAAATAAAATATGGAAAAGACAAAATCATACTGGATGGTCTCAGTGTGGAGGTCTGAACATAGAAAAGAGGCTGGAAGTAAATCTGTCAAAATATTCACAGTTATGTCTGTGAGATGGGATTAAGGGGAACTTTTCCTTTACTTAAAGCTTTTGTGTATATTCCAAGTTTTCTTTTTGAAGAAACATTCCTGACTAGTGTGGATAATTAAAAGGATGAGAGGAGTGATGGCAAAGGTAGAGAAAACCTTTTACCCTAGTCTTCTATCCCTGGCTATTTGGTTCTATGCCATATGTTTTCTGGAAGGAATAGAATGCAGTACATTGTAAGAGCAGTAAAGTGCCCAGAAGAAACTCGAAACACAGATCAGCCCCCAAAATGCCAGATTTCTGAAACGCCTGTGCTTGATGAGTGTGATTAGCCCTGTAAGGAAACACACCCAGAAACGATCTGTTTACTTGTTTACAAAGCCGTGGGATCACAGAACTTTTGAGTGGGGCAAGCTGTGTGTGATGTCAGGGGCAGAGCTAGAATGTGCTTAAAATTCAGAGAGCAGAACTTAATGCTTTATATTGTACCACGTGGAGAAAGGCTTCGTGCCTGACCTGAGGAGCCTCAGCTTGGAGTGTGGATGTGGGAAGATAGAGGTGAGTGCTGATCGCTCAGACACTCATGGGGGAGGATTTGGTGGCCTGTGGCCTGGAGCACTTGTCCCCTTGGGCAGTTGGGCCCCATTAGAGATTTCACAGCTCACTCCCCTCGTTCTGAATTCATGTTCAGCCACATGTGAGAACGGCTTGACCTGGCAGCGTGCACATTCTGCTATGCTTGACAGTTGGATTTCTCTTTGCTAATTGATAACCAATTGGCTTTTTTTTTTAAAGTGCATGATGCTAATAGGAAGCCAGGCTTTCTTCTCCTTTATAACAACCCCATGGATTTATTACTTAACATGTTTTTTTTAAGTTCCCTTTCTGCAGGGTTCAAATTCTTAAATCTATACAATTTTCTAGCACTTCTCTGTTTTAGATCCGTCTCTAAACATTACCTCGTACCCTTCTGAAATGCCTTTTTAAAAATTTATGTTGAACTCCCTTGTCACCAGAAAGACAGGGACTGTGGTCCCCTTCTTGTTTTAGTTTTTTCTGGTGGGTTACCTCCTTGCTGCTAAATCCTATGTTGTCCCAGTGTTTTTTGACAGCACTGTGAAGCAGTGACTGATTCCCGTGGAATTCCAGTGAATGCCTGGGTCTTTTCTTTTTATTGACTATAATTTATATACAGAAAATACACATATGCTGAGTATACAGCTGAATGAATTTTCCTCCTGTTTTTGACTCTATCTCCCACCCTTTTCTTCCCCGAGACCTTCCTGGGGTTTTGCCTGGTTATGCTGTCCTTTGCTGTGGGCCTGGCCTGCACATCCTGAGCTGCCCTTTCCTCGTTCCAGTTTCTCCTCCTTAGGCTTTCATCTCCTAGTAATTTCTTGATGCTTCTTGTCCACTAGTGCCTCTCCATTTTATCTTTTAATTGTTATAGTTGTAGTTTTTCTTTTTCTCCTTCTGGTGGGAGGTTCCTTTACTTAAACCATTCACGTTGAATTCTTTCCTCACTGCTGTCTTCAGGCGCCTGCTTATGCCAGAGCGAGAGACGCTGTTTAACACCCTGGCCAACAACCGGGAAATCATCAACCAACAGAGGAAGAGGTTGAATCACCTGGTGGACAGTCTCCAGCAGCTCCGTCTGTATAACCAAACCTCCCAGTGGAGCCTCCCCTCAGATGTGTCCTCCCAGAGCAGCACTCACAGGTGTGCGGGAGAAGGGGCCTGTTAAAGCTGCTGTACTCGATAAGTATGGTCGAATGAATGAATGTATATTTGAGAGTAACATGGAGTAGTCTTAGAGTGGTTCAGATGTGGGTTTGAAAGTGATTCTGCTGTCTGTCACCTGTGTGATCCTGGTAAAGTTCCTCACCCTTCCCGATCCTTCGTTCCTTTGCCTTAAAAATGAGGATAGCAATACCTGCCTCATGGGATTGTTGGGGAGTTAAATTAAGTCTATAAAGCACCTAGTGGTGTGCCTGATGAAACAGGTGCTCAATAGATGATAGCAGATACTACGGTAATAGTATTGTTGTTTTATTGAAAATTAACTAATAGGTTTAGGTTGACTTACTTGTGTCAACGCTCAGATTTGTCGTTTTGGTTGAGTGTGGAAACTTTCAGACCCTGCCAGTTAGACAGTTTACCTCTGAAGTTATGAAGATGGTTTTGTGTTTCTGCCTTTAGGCCGAATGTGTAGATTTTAATAACCCTTTCTGCTGAAGCACTGTTGGTGTCGTGTTTGCAGTGGGGGTGTTATGTAATATTGAGATTGTGATCTCTTTCCTTTTGAATTGATTACGTTGATTGGTCAGATTTCCTGTTTCTCTGTTGAGGATACTCTCATCTCTTGCATTTATATTTAGGAGGATAGTGTGCCCGCCCCTTTCCCCCCGCCCCCATTTCTCTTGTCATAGTTGGTTTGTATGTGACACTGTCCTATTTCAGTTTTGACAGTGACCTTGAAAGCCTGCGCAATGCTTTGCTGAAAACCACCATAGAATCTCACACCAAACCCTTGACCAAAGTACCAGGTAAATACATTCTTCCCAGTCTTTTAACTCTTTGTTCTCTTCTATCCACTAACATCTTAAAAACCAAATCTTAAGCATTTATGGGCTCGTGAATTTCTTGCAGCTAAACTGTCCCCTGTGAAACAGGCACAACTGAGAAACTTCTTGGCCAAGAGGAAGACCCCACCGGTGAGATCCACTGCTCCAGGTAAAGGGAGCCGGTCCTGAGTTTTTTTAGCATAAACCCTACAGTGCATGGTGTGGGGGTAGGGGTGTGTGTGTGTGTATGTTTTCCTTTTGGTTTTTAAGAGGGAATAGAGAAAATGTCCCCAGAATCTGTCGTCCATCTGAATATTGGAGTGGGAAACAGCATATGCGTACTCGATGAAGCAGCTCAAGTAGTTGCTTTGGCTTTTGCACTTTGTTTTCTGCCCTCCCCAGGTGACGTAGCAGTAATTCCCAAGGGTTTGGGGAGGCTGAGCTGGCTCCAGGGGTCCTAGCTTCTACTTTAACTGGAGAAATTCTGCTTTTCTGATTTGTATGGAGTTTTGAGTAAGATTGCATTTGAAAACAAATTTCTTTTCTTAAGAAAGAAGAAAACAACTACGGATTAGGGAATGATGGCTAAAAATGCTTGCTGAAAAGAAGCCATATAACTGATAAAAAAAATTATTTTTGCAATTAAATTACGTATATAATTACCTCAATTTTCTTTTTAAGAAATATTTGTTATTTACAACTTCAGGCATAACTATGCTTTACTGTGCATATCTGCTTTTTTCTTTGAAATTCTGTTTTGAGTTGAAAATTTTTTTGTATACCAACAACAAATGCCTTTTGGTAATTAAAATAGTGGAGAGAAATTTAATTTAATCACTGTACCATGATTTATTAATTTTTCTGTAATCATATAAGGTAAGTACTATTCACAGACAAGTGAATTTTTTAATAACATTTTCCTTATCTAAAGAATACATTTTCTTGGTAGATAATTGGAAAACTATGGAAAAGTATAAAGGAGAATAAAAATTATTATTATCCCTTAACTCAAGGGTTAATCACTTATGTCATCACTTATGACTTATCACTTATGTCATTTTGGTTTACTCCCAAACTTCTTTCTTTGCATATGTAAATTTGATTTTTTGAAAATGAGATTGGGTTACAGGTTTGTGGCCTAATTTTTTATTAATTAAAAATTGATGAGCCCTTACTATGAAATAGAAAATAAGTGTTGGCGAGGATGTGGACACATTGGGACCCTTGTACACTATTGGTAGAAATGTAAAATGGTGCAGCTGCTGTGGAAAATAGTTTTGTGGTTTCTCAAAAACTTAAAAATAGAATTACCATATGATCCAGCAATCCACTTCTGGGTGTATACCCAAAAGAAATGAAAACAGACTCAAATGGATGTTTGTACTCTTGTGTTCATAGCAGCATTTTTCTCAATAGCTAAAAGATAGAAGCAAGCCAAGTGTCCGTCAACAGATGAAAGGAGCAGGAAAGTGGGATATATACTACCTTAAAAAGGAAGGAAATTCTGATGCATGCTACACTGTGGATGAACTTTGAGGACATTATGCTAAGGGAGATAAGCCAGTCACAAAAAGACAAATACTGGGTGATTTGAGTTATATGAGATACCTAGAGAAGTCAAATTCATAGAGACAGAAAGTAGAGTGGTGGGTGCCACAGGCTGGGAAGGGGAAAAGAATGGGGAGTTACTGTTTAATGGCTATAGAATTTCAGTCTGGAGGTGGATAGTGGTGATGGTTGCACAACAATGTGTATGTACTTAAATACCAGTGAAGTGTACACTTAAAAATGGTTAAGATGGTGAATTTTATGTGTATTTTACCACAGCAAAAAAATTGGGGAGAAATTTTTAAAAATTAAAATTTCATGAGCCTTTCCTCTGCCTTCTGTTTTTAAATATTATTTGAACATGTGCCTTACAATGACTGTGCAATATTTCTTTGTATTAGAAGGCCATAATTTACTTATCCAATCCCTGCTGTTGTGTTAATCTTATTGCCAAGATTTTACTCGGAACATCCTTGGTCACAAATCTTTAAGCACATCTCTGATTATATCTTTATGATAGGTTCCTTAGAAGTGAGATTTATGTAACTTATTTAATCATTCAACAAATACGATTGCCTACTTTGTTCCAGACAGTGGTAAATAAGAGAAACACAGTCTCTGATCACATTAAACTTTTGATTAAGAGGGGAATACAGACATTAAGCAGATAACTGCACATTATGCTCATTTAACATTAGGATATATGCTGTAAAGAATAACTCAGAGCGTATAAACATTTTTAACTTTAAAAATTGTGAAATTAACACACACACACAGAAAAGTGCACAAAACAAAAATATCCATCTGTGTAATCTCTCTCTACCAAGGTTAAGAAAAAGAACCTTCCATTGCCAACTCCCTAGACCCTGCTCTTGTGCACCCCAGTCTTCCTGCTCCCCAAAGGTACCACTCTATGGATGTATATGATGGTATACCTTTCCTTTTATTTGTTTAGTTTTTTCTTTTGACATTTTAAGTCTTTATTTATTATTTTGAAAAATTTCAAACCCCTAGCTGTAAGAATAATACAATGAGCACCAACTTAACCCTTCACCGAGTATATTTCCCAGTAACGTTTGCCACAGTTGCTTTATTTTTCTCCTCTCTCCCACACATGCACAGAGTATTGTTATTATTTTTCAATGAACTATTTAAAAATAGGTTGCAGACAGGACCTGTTACTGCTAAATATTTCGGCACGTGTGCTTTAAAAGCAAGAACATTCTCTCACACAACCATAATACAATGATCAGATTTAGATAATTTAACATTGATAGAATACTGTTATCTAATATGCAATCCCTACTCATAATTTGCCAACTGTCCCTCTGATGTCCTGCATAGCCACTCTTTTTAAAAAATCTAGGATCCAATCCAGGATTATACATTGCATTAAGTTGTCATTCTCTTTAGTCTCCTTTATCTTTGCTTGTCTTGACAGTTGTACTATTTAAGTGTGCCTCTCCAAACACTGTAATTTGGTTTTGCCAGTTTTTTGGGCTTTGCATGCTAGGTCCATTCATTTATTCTTAGGATGGATTTCCCTCGTTCCACCTTGGGTTTGTAAGAGTCATCCAACGTTGGGTTTGTAAGAGTCATCCATGTCGTCATGTGTAGCTGTTACTATGTTGCCATGTCTGTTGTATGAATATACTGCATTTGTTTATGCAGTTGCCTCTTGGTGGACATTTGCTATTGCCAGTTTTTAGCTGTAATAGAATAGAATGTTGTCTGAACGTTCTTGTGCATGTGCATTCTTTGGACACATGTGCAGCTCTTTTATTTGGTCACGTAACTCAGAGTGGAGTTGTTGGCTCCTATTCTGTCCATATGCCCAGCTTCAGTAGATTCTGCCCTACAGTCTTCCAAAGTGGTCGTACCCTTTCATCCTTCTATCATCAAGGTATGAATATTCCAGCTGTTCCACATCCTTGCCAAGCTTGATATTGTCAGTCTTTTTCCTTGTAGCTGTTCTGATGTATTCTTTTTATATGTTTATTAACCATTTGGATATCTTTTGTGAAGTGCCTGATTAAATGTTTTGCTCATTTATCTATTGGAAAATCTGCCTTACTGATTTGTAAAAGTTTTTATAAATTCTTGATACCAGCCCTTTGTTGGTTATATGGGTTGTAGATATTCACTTGTTGCCTTCTTACCCTCTTCATGATATCTTTTAGCAAACAGAAGTTCTTAATTTTAAAGCAGATTTATCAGCCTTTTCTTTTACAGTTAGTACTTGCTGTGTTCTGTTTAAGAAATCCTTCTCTATCTCTGGATCACAAAAATGTGTATGCACCTTTGTTATTGTCTAGAAATGTTAATGTTTTGCCTTTCAAATTTAGTTCTACTATCCACCTGAAATTGATTTTTTTAACAATTTTATTAAGGTATAATTTACATATCATAAAATTCACCTGTTGTAAGTGTACGGTTTGATTTTTGGTAAATTTACAGAATTTTACAACCATCCCTACATTCCAGTTTTAGAACATTTCCATCACTGAAATGTCCTCATGCTTGTTTGTAGTCAGTCCTTATTCTGCCCCCAGCAACCACTGATCTGTTTTCTTTCTCTGTGGATCTGCCTTTTTAAGAAATTGCATATAGATTGAATCAGATGTAGTTTTTTGGTTTGGCTTCTTTCATTTAATATAATGTTTTTGAGGTTCATCCATGATGTATAACATGTATCAGTAGTTCATTCCTTTTTATTGCTGAATAGTATTCCATTGTATAGATACACCATATTTTGTTTTTACTGTCTAGAATTGATTTTTGCGTATGATATAAAATATGGCCCTTGTGTCATTTTTTTGTATTTAGATAATCTGATTGTCCCAACACTGTTTATTGGAAAGACTGTTTTCCTCCCTGTTTAGTAGAGACCTTTGTTGTAAATCAGTTATCCTTATGTGTTTAGATCTGTTGGTCTCATATACTGATCACAAACCACTACTACCCCACTGCCTTAATTAACTGGTGCTAAACTAAGTCACGGTACTGTTCTGTTTCTAGATTCTAAAGCTGTGCTGTCCAATATAGTAGCCTATTTAAATTTAAATTAATAAAAATTAAAGTTAAAAATTCAGGTAAGCAGTTCCAGTAGCATTTCAGGTGTGCAGTAGGCACATGTGACTCATGGCTATTCTAATAGGAAGCGCGGCTATTGAACGTTTCATCATTGCATAAGTTCTACAATCTAGAGGAGGGGTTGGCAAACTTTTTCTTAAAGGGCAGGATAGTAAATATTTTGGGCTTTCAGGCCCTGTGGTTTCTATTGTACCTACTCAACTCTGCCCTTGTAATAGAAGAGCAGCCACAGATAGTATGTAGATGAATGGGCGTGTCTATGTTTCAGTAAAACTTTATAAAAACAGGCAGCTGGCCCATGGTTGTAGTTTGCCGACCTATGATGAAGAATGCTTTGGCTCTTCTTGGTGCTTTCCCTTTCCATATTAATATTAGAATTATCTTGTTAAATTATACCCAACTCAGCCCTCAAAGAATAGTTGCGATTTTGATTGGAATTATGTTGAATTTCTAAATCGCCTTGAGAGGACTGACATTTGTACAATGTTGATCTTTTAATTCCTAAACATGGTATATGTTTATTTAGATCATTAATTTTTCTGCATAGAGGACATGCACATCTTTCATTAGATTTATTCCTAAGAGTTTAATACTTTTGATGCCCTTAGAATGGTGGGGGGTTTTTTCTTAAATTTCATTTCATGTTTTGCTTTATGTTAGATGTGGTATATAGAAATATATTATATCTTTTGTATGTTAAAGTACCCAGCATCCTGGCTAAACTCATTTATTCAAATAATACGTCTATAGCTATTTCTTGGACTTTCTATGGAAACATTTATATCCTCCATGGATACTAACACTTTTATTTCTGCCTTTTCAGTCTTTTTATTTATTTTTCTTACCTATTTCACTAGCTAGGACCTCCAATGCCCAATAAAAGTGGTGATTGGGCATCCTTTCCTTGATCTCAAAGAGAACACTTTCAGTTCACCATAAACTGTGAGGTTTGCTGCGTCTATGGAGATGATCATGATTTCTGTCTTCTTTCCCCCTGTTAATGTGGCTTTCTGCCTTTCCTGATCTGAGCTAGTGTTTAAGCAGAATGAGATTCTTTTGGTTTCTATGGGACCCCCTTTCTAATGCCAGGAAGGTAGCTGCATCCTTAGTCACAGCAGAGAGCAGCACATATGAGCTGTGAAGGCAGCACCATTGGGAGAGTGAGCAGTCCAGGCTCCTGGCCTCTGCGAGTGAGCATGGCCATTGCAACTTTCAATTGATGGATCTCCCTCCACTCAAAGCCAATGAATGGTATCAGAAAGATAAGAAAGGAAACTGAGAAAACCCACAGGTTGTATCAGACCTTGGAAGTTACATAGTTATATGTCAGTTTCTCTCTCTAATCAGGTCTTGAAGGTAATGAATCTGGGTCGTCTTTTGTTGCTACTAACTCAGAAAGTAGGATTTTAGAGAAATTATTGAGCAGTGTGGCCCTAAGAGAATGTGGGAGTTGAATTTGTTTTCTACGGATGCTATAACAAATTATCACAAATTTAGTGACTTAAAACACCACCTATTTATAATCTCAAAGTTGCGTGGGTCAGAAGTCCAGGTGCAGCGTCGCTCAGCTGGGTCTTTGCTCAGTGCTCAGAGGCTGAAGTCAAAGCGTTGGCTGTGCTGAGCTCTCAGCTGAAGGCTCTGGGGAAGATTTCACTTCTAAGCTCATGGGAGTTGTTGGCAGAATTCAGTTCCTTGCAGCTGTAGGACTGAGTTCCTTGTTTCCTTGATGTGTACTCCCAGCCACCTTCATCTGCATGCCAAGAGCAGCACATTGAGTCCTTCTTGTGCTTCAAGTCTCTGACTTCCCCTTCTGCCACATCTCTCTGACTTCCTCTTTTGCTTCATTTCTCTGCCTTGAAGGGCTCGTGAGATTTTACAGTGGACCCACCTGGATAATCCAGGCTAACCTCTGTGTTAAGGTCACCTCATTAGTAACCTTAATTATGTCTGCAAAATCTCTTTTGCCACATAATATAACCATCGGTGTGGCACCAGGAGCAAAGCTCCTGGGGTCAAAATTCTGCCTGGCACAGGGTTCAGTCTTATATAGCAGAGTATTGTTAAGAATGTGGTCAAGTCAGATATAGCCAAGTTTGAATTCTGGCTCTACCAGTTACCAACTTCATGACCTTGGGCAAATTACTTAACCTTTCTAGGCATTAACCATAAAGTCAGATAATAGCAATTTCTGATTTATAGGATAATTGTGAGGATTAAATGGGATAATGTGTATAGATGCTTTGTGCAGCACCTGGCACCAAGTAAGTTCTCAATAAATACTAACTGCAGTTTTACTGGTGGTGGTGGTGGTGGTGGTTATGGATGAATTCCTAAGTGACCTTGCTCCATATTTACTTGCATCAGAATAATCTGGTACAGTGCTGTCCCGTAGAACTTTCTGCATTGATAGAAACTGTTTTGTATCTGTGCTAATATAGTAGCCACACGTGGCTATTGAGCACTTGAAATGTGGCTGGTGCAACTGAGGATTTGAAGTTTTCATTTATTTACTTTTAATTATTTTTAACTTAAATAACACATATGGCTAGTGGCTACCAAATTGAACAGTGCAGCCCTGGCGGCAGCCCTAGCACATGGTGTTGGTTTTTATTTGCATTTGCTTATGTCACACTCACATGTGACAAATAAAATCTTGCAGAGTGATCTGCCTGTAGGAGAGACAACTATTAGCAACGCTTTTAAATAACTTGAGGAGAAAGGGCTAGGTTTTTTCATTTGGTTTTTTCCAGTATACAGGCTGTAATGTGCATTTGGAAATGGTAGGAAGTAAAATGGCAGAAAGCCTTATTTCGTAGTTTATAGAAGGAAGAAAGCAGGAGGTCAGGATTAATTTCAGTGATTTTTTTTTTTTTTTCACTTAATTGTCTGATTCAAAAGACTCATTAGATTTATCTAGAAATGTTTGAAACAGTCAGGACCATCTGTTGTTTCCAGTTTGTGTTAGGCCTGTTCTTAGATGTGTACTGTTGGAAAGTGATGGCAGTAGCGTGCCTGTTGACTCTGCTGTGGAAGCCTGTCTGTACTTTCCGATAGGTTGTTATTCTGTCTGTGAGAACTTCCGGTGAGGGCTTGAGGCCTCCTGCTTTGACACCAGCATTCATTCTGTCTTGCACTTCACATTTTTTTTGTTTGACAGTCAGAATGTTCTTGTCCTACACAGCTCAGTTTTTCAAAGCGCCACTAGAGCAAAGACACAAAACTGTCTTCGTTCATATTTGACAAAAGCTGCTTCCACTTAAAATGAGTAATAATTAAATCATTTTACAAGGTGGATATTTCTCTATCGACAGTGAAGATTACATAGGCTTGGACTTGCTTCGAGTTGTCTAACTTGTGTTTTGGGCTTTGTAGCGAGCCTGTCTCGATCAGCCTTCCTGTCCCAGAGATATTATGAAGACTTGGATGAAGTCAGCTCCACGTCATCCATTTCCCAGTCTTTGGAGAGTGAAGACGCACGAGCATCCTGTAAAGATGATGAGGCTGTGGTCCAGGTCCCTCGGCATGCCCCGGTGGTTCGCACTCCTTCCATCCAGCCCAGTCTCTTGACCCAGGCAGCTCCTTTTGCTAAACCTCACCTGATTCATGGTTCGCCTGGTATGATGGGAGCTTCAAGTAAGTAAACAATGCAACAGGAAACATTTTCCCTATAAGGTTTCTCACTTATGAAGAAATTGCAACTGAGTTTTATACCATCACACCAATAAGTTGTTGATTCCAGCTCATTTCTGCTAATATTCCAGAAATTAGAAGACTAATTCAAAAGAGGTGTGTTCCCCTTGAAAGCGGTTGGTAAGAGATTGTGAGGAAGAAGAGGCTCTGCAAGGTTCACACTGTCCTGGCTTTCCTGTTGAGTCCATCCTGTGTTTTTTTGTTTTGTTTTGTTTTTTTGTGAGGAAGATCAGCCCTGAGCTAACATCCATGCCAATCCTCCTCCTTTTTGCTGAGGAAGACTGGCTCTGAGCTAACATCTACTGCCAATCCTCCTCCTTTTTTCCCCCAAAGCCCCAGTAGATAGTTGTATGTCATAGTTGCACATCCTTCTGGTTGCTGTATGTGGGACGCCGCCTCAGCATGGCCGACAAACAGTGAGTCAGTGCACGCCCAGGATCCGAACCCAGGACGCCCGTGGCGGAGTGCGCGCACTTAACCGCTAAGCCACAGAGCCAGCCCATCCTGTGTTTTTTTAAACAGGTCTTTTTAAGAGTGAAAGGAGGAAGCTGTTTGTCTCCATATAAAGCAACAGCCACACTCATGCCTTTCAAATCCTAGCTCATTTCACCTCAAGTTGTAGCCAGATTCTGCGTTAAAACTCGCCAGCTGCCGTGCTCATTGTCAGTGTTGGCTCGCTGACGCGACCTATATTTTGCTGTCACACCTTCAGTTCAGAGCGTCAGGACCTTGGATTGACATGACTTCTAACAGGACAAACATGAGCCTGAGGTCCTGGAATGGAGAGATTTTATAAGAGGAGAGCAGGGAATTGATCTGTATTGGCGTGAAAGTTATATCTTGATCAGTATCAGAGGAAATGATAGTGTGAAGTATTGCATGTGGCATCTTTGAAAAGATATAGGTGCCAGCCTGTCAGTTTACTAGTACTTTTCTATGTTAATGCTTAAGGATTTTTTAATCTTAGCATTTTCCCTGCAACCTAACCTGGAGAATTTACCATTTAAACTTTTGTGTATTCCTCTTCTCTGACCCACTCTCTCACTTAATTTTTCTTTTTCCCTCAGTGTCCACGTCTGCTAGCAAAATTATTCCTCAGGGGGCTGACAGTACAATGCTTGCAACAAAAACTGTGAAGCATGGTGCACCTGGTCCTTCCCACACCATCCCAGCACCCCAGGCAGCCGCCGTTGCAGCTCTGAGACGGCAGATGGCCAATCAGGTGCCAGGTAAAAACTGTACCCCACACCTATGCAGAGACTGGCTATGAGTGTCTGAGTCACAGGCCGGGGCTATAGGTGCCAAGAAACAGCGGACTCTCTTTGCTGCCCTTCAGAAGAGAAGACTGCTGTGGCAGCCCCCTCCTCGTTTTGGGGAGAGAGTTCCAAGAAGGCAGAAACTAGGTCTGAAACTTTTTCCTTTTAAAGAGAGGTATTAGGGCCGGCCCCGTGGCTTGGTGGTTAAGTGAGCGTGCTCCACTGCTGGCGACCCGGGTTCGGATCCCGGGCTCGCACCGACGCGCTGCTTCTCCGGCCATGCTGAGGCCGCGTCCCACATACAGCAACTAGAAGGATGTGCAGCTATGACATACAACTATCTACTGGGGCTTTGGGGAGGAAAGAATAAATAAAAATCTTTAAAAAAATAAAAAAATAAAAAAATAAAATAAATAAAGAGAGGTATTAGATCTGCTGCATTCAGTTAAATGGGAAATCAGTGTTTTTTTTGATGAAGTTGTTAAGCCCTATTTTTTAATAATGTCTGCTTTAAGCCCAAAATTAATCTTTCTAATTAGATCACCTAATAACATGAGAATTGTCTCACAGTCTCTTAAGCATCCCAGCCACCCTGTGAGGTGGGTATAAGTGTGCCCATTTTGCCTGAGTCCTGTAAGGTCCAGAGAGGTGCAAGTTACCGACCAATAAGTAGTAGAACCGGGACTCCAGCCTGCGCTCTTTCTATTGCACTGCGGCTCTTTCTTAAGATCGCAGATTCAGCCTTGACAGACGGAAACACTAATGAGCTAATTGCGTTTTGTCAGTAGTTTGTGGCTATCCCAAATTTTCTACATCAGGATTTCTTGGTAATTGGCCTCAAGGACTTCAGTTATCACTTAGCAGTTTGTTCAAGCCAGTGGTTCTCAGCCAGAGGCTGTTTGGCACCCCCCCCCAACAGTTGGCAATGTTGGTGGCATTTAGTGGGTAGAGGCCAGGAATGCTGCAAAAAAAGTCTTAAAATGCACAAGACACCCCCACAACAGAGATTATCCGGCCCCAAAATGTCAATATGTCAAGGTTGAGAAGCTGCTATAAATATTTTTGTTTTAGCTGAATAAAACTATTTTTTAGTTTTATCACCGCTTAGAACACACATCAATTTAGACAGTATTTTAAAAAAAACTAAATAAAAAGACATGGCAGTTTGATTTAGACAAAAAAGAATTACCATTATATAGCAATAAAAGATCTCTAAGAAAATTTTAAATATTAGAATGCTTATTAAGCCATCTAAAATAGATATGAAAGAGCATAAACGAGAACTTTTTAAGATTTTATTTATTTATTTTCCCCCGCAAAGCCCCAGTAGATAGTTGTATGTCATAGCTGCACATCCTTCTAGTTGATGTATGTGGGACGCGGCCTCAGCATGGCCAGAGAAGCGGTACATCGGTGCGCGCCCGGGATCCGAACCCAGGCCGCCAGCAGCGGAGCGCACGCACTTAACCGCTAAGCCACGGGGCCGGCCCAGAACTTTTTAAAGTACCTTTGAGCTTTCTAAAAAAATAGAATCCTTTGATATTTTCTTTAAATATTACTTGGACCAAGCAGAATCTTGGCATTGTGCTGAACAGGCCCAAAATCAAGCTGATTGAGTCGATTATTTGTAAACTTAAAATCTGCCAGGATTTAGGATTATTCTGCTCTCAGCAGGAGGTGGTGCGATCTCTATTATCATTTTGGAAGCAAAATTTTCTAAGGTGTAGGCACCTTTGAATGTGAAAGATGAGATATGTGCTGTCACAGGCAAGGTGTCTCTGAAGGAGGGAATAAAAGTGTTCTACCTGGGCTGTAGCTTTCAACTTTGCCAACAATATGGTTAGAGAGATCCAAGAGCTTTGCTCAGGCCTTCTTAATTGTTAATTATAAAATGTCATTAAGTGTTGGAATACGGTTTTAAATTATAAGACCCAAAAAAAGAGATGTGAAAGCTGACAAACCTAAGATAGATAAGTTGATGTCAAATCAGTCCCCGTTGCCATTCCTTGATCCAAGCCGCTCGGCCTCCTCCCCCTTGTCCAAGCTCCATTTTCCACATTTTATTCATTGGATCTGTCTCACCAAGCCATGAGCTCCTCTAGAGAACAAGCTATATTTTAAAAATTTTTTGTATTCCCAGCACCTAACAGAGTCTGGTAATAATAAGCTCACGTTAAAGAATGAATAGATAGGGCCGGCCCTGTGGCTTAGCGGTTAAGTGCGCACGCTCCGCTACTGGCAGCCCGGATTCGGATCCCGGGCATGCACTGACGCACCGCTTCTCCGGCCATGCTGAGGCCGCGTCCCACATACAGCAACTAGAAGGATGTGCAACTATGACATACAACTAGCTACTGGGGCTTTGGGGGAAAAAAGGACGAGGATTGGCAATAGATGTTAGCTCAGAGCTGGTCTTCCTCAGCAAAAAGAAGAGGATTAGCATAGATGTTAGCTCAGGGCTGATCTTCCT